TAAAAATTTATGAATTGCCAAAGCCTCAGAAAGCTGACAAACCCAAGGCAAGGTATGTCAGTTTTGTTTTTCCCATTCACTTCATTATATCATTTATACTCCATTTACATAAGTTCAACTTGGCTTATTTACTGTGAGAAAAGATTTTTGTATCTCTTGCTTTATATCATAATCAATCACTAAATAAAAAAAAAAAAGAGCCATTGCAATTAATTGATATTACTCATAAATAAAAATTAAATGCAAAGTAAACAATGAAAATAACAGCAATAGCTCTTTTTCAAAATTTTAAGTTTTCACGCACTGAACTATAGCTATAGGCGGAAATACCTTTGAAGAAGGCAACATAATTCGGAAAGCATGTAAATATCAAACACACATGGAAAGCTATAAGAAACCCATTTGCCCCAGCCATTTGCTTGCAGAAAGCAAAATGAGAATTTACTGTAATATAAAAGGTATAGAACTGAGAGAAGAGCGGTACTTAACACACTAGAAGGGAAGTGAATTGTTCACAGGGAGCTATTACCCAGTTTGCATCTGCTCGAACACTCCTTGAGACTATGCATGAATGGCTTAATGCGATCGTACATGCAGCTTTGGTGAGATGGAAGAATAAGTGCGCTCTTTTTGCCTGTTGGAAGAAGGGCGGTGCTTGACATACGCATGAGAGGAAGTATGCTCGACTTGTAAGGGATGAAACTAATATCCAGTTTGCGCCTCGAGCTTTAATATAAAGAGACGCTCTAATGGTACGTGCAGTTTTAGTGAAATGGAAGGATAATTGTACTCTGTTTCAGTCGCAGTTATTTAATCTTCCTGATCATTATTTAACCTTCCTGATCATTATTTAATCTTCCTGATCATTATTTAACCTTCCTGATCATTATTTAGTCTTCCTGGTCATTACTTAATCTTCCTGATCATTATTTAATCTTCCTGATCATTATTTAACATTCCTGATCATTATTTAATCTTCCTGATCATTATTTAATCTTCCTGATCATTATTTAACCTTCCTGATCATTATTTAGTCTTCCTGGTCATTACTTAATCTTCCTGATCATTATTTAATCTTCCTGATCATTATTTAACCTTCCTGATCATTATTTAATCTTCCTGATCATTATTTAACCTTCCTGATCATTATTTAGTCTTCCTGGTCATTACTTAATCTTCCTGATCATTATTTAATCTTCCTGATCATTATTTAACATTCCTGACCATTATTTAATCTTCCTGATCATTATTTAATCTTCCTGATCATTACTTAATCTTCCTGATCATTATTTAATCTTCCTGATCATTACTTAATCTTCCTGATCATTATTTAATCTTCCTGATCATTATTTAATCTTCCTAATCATTATTTAACCTTCCTGATCGTATCATTATTAGAATTTCTCTTCTTCTGTTTTGATCATTTTCTGTTTCATCAGTGCTATTCGATATTCGATGTGTGGCGCAATACTCCCAGACGACAAATGCCATCCATGCTTTTTCATATAAATCTTCAAACCCATTGTTCATTCGATAATTTAATTGATTGCAGTCACTTAACAACAGAAATTTCAGAGCTTATTTCTGTTTAACTTACATGCTTTAATGATTCGGCATATGTGATTTCAAGTCGGGTTTAATCCAAAAATCTTTATTGCATACAGTGAAGTGGTAGGCAGGTCTACTCATTTCATGATGGGAAGTTAGCTAATGCTGTTACTCATTGATGGATTTATTGTTGGGTTAGATTGTCAAATGTTTTGAGTGAATGGAATTTTGAATGCAAATAGAACAACTGAAACAAAATTCCAAATGTGAATCGACAAATGAAATGAATGAATTTCGTTGTTATATGACCTTATGATATTCATGTTATTTATGCAATAATCGAGTGAACAATTTCATTTCATTAGTAGTTTAACAACAGCGATATTAATTTGCAAATTCTTCACGCATAGTATGCAGTGGCATGCAAGAAGTTACTGGCTTGTTGTGTAGGCATCGCTAGGCAATTTATTTATCCTAACAAAACAAATAAAAAAGTGCGAAGAATATAACACATAACAGTGAGAGAGTGTTATTTTAAAAACAAATGACAGAAGAACTGACTGATGGAAAACATAAATAATCAATAACAACGGAAATTGCGATGCAATGTATTTCTTCAAATTTAAAGTAAAAAGTAAAGCGTAAGCTTCAGTGAATCCGCATATGCAATTTCAAGCTCTGTTTAACTCAAAAATCTTTACTGAATACAATGCATAGGTTTATTTATGTCATGAGTTACCATGTGAGACTTCAAATTGTGTTTTCGGGTGTAACTTTTTCCGCATTTCGAACAACTGTACGGCTTCTCACCGGTATGAGTCATCATATGCCTTTTCATGTTACCGGACACAATGAAACTTTTTCCGCATCTCGGACAACTGTACGGTTTTTCACCGGCATGAATCATCATATGTTTTTTCATACTTTGGGAGTGAGTGAAATTCTGTTTGCATATCGAACAACAGTACGGCTTTTCACCGGTATGAGTCATCATATGTTTCTTCATATTCGAGAAATCATTGAAAATTTTTTTGCATGTTGGACAACTGTACGGTTTTTCACCGGTATGAGTCATCATATGTTCTTTCACACGCGAAGAGCGACTAAAATTCTTTTTGCATATTGAACAACTGTACGGCTTCTCTCCAGTATGAGTCATCATATGTTCTTTTATTTTTGCCACTTCCTTTCGACATATGTCACAACGCTGCTTTTTTATCGTCCTTTTTTCTTGCTTTGATAGCTCGATCACTTCCACCGGCGTTTCAATTGGAACGAATTGTCGCCGAAGTTTAATTCGTTCATTACTCACTCCCTCCACTGATAAACCTTGCGACTTGTTTCCTTCCTGTTTCACTTTTGGAACCAGTGAATTCAGGGGTTTTATTTGAAGCACTTGCAAACCAACCTCTCCTTCATCTTTTCTTTCCACTGATAAGCCTTGTGACCCATCCCCATCATCTCTCACTTTTGATATTGATAAATCCAACGGTTCTGTCTGATCCGTTTGCGCTGTCTCAAATCATATGAAATTAAATCACACTATGCAAGATTATAAATCTTCAAGATATTGAACGATATGTTATATTTTGTTAACTTTAAGTGGACTTACGGTAGTTTGAACATTGCTCAATTGGAAGACGAAAAACAAATAGATGAAATGCATGTCAATGAAAATAATTTCTTGTAAATTCTGAAAAACATTCAAATGCTCATTGATAAATGAGCAAAGGATTTCTCCAAGAAATGTTTTTTTTTTTTAATTATGTTAGATTATTTACAAATTTATCACCAATTCCGAAAACCTTCCTTATAATTCAAAAATTTAAAAAGAGGTAACATCCTCTGTCGAGATAAATGAAGCAAAACTTACTGAATGAAATTTGTAGAAAGAAGTCTGACAGAGGTCAACCGATCAATTCTGTTAGTTATGGTTGGAGAATTGTATGTATAAATGTTTATTCAAATGGGAGTGGCAAACTACGTGTACTGATAATATAGAATATAAAATATTACGCATAATAATAATACGAAATAGCAATCATTGTTTAATCCTTTACATCAAATTATTTCATTTCAAATGCTATATTGCATTGTTGAAAATAATTTTATGCAAAGCAGTTGTGACATTTTTTGTAATTTTATTTCATTTCGCTTCGATTTTTCCATGCATCCAAATCTTTTGGAATATTAACGAAAGGAGAAAATTACATTGATGAATCTCTTATAATTGATAATATTGATTTATAAATGCTAAATGATTTCATCAAATCTTTCGTTTAGATTTTAAATTTTCAAATTTGCTTTGTATCTATAATCATATCTAATGTGATTTGCTGAAGTTAGCTGTCAAATGAGTACCAATTGACAATTTCTAATACTTATGAACCTTTTAAATGCCAATCATAATGAAACTGAAAAGGAAAAAAAGACGGTGGTAAAGTTCTATCAATTACTGTATTGTGTCTGATTAGCATCACTTGAAATGCTGAACCGGAAGTTATCAGTTCGCCATCCAATTTGTTCTTATAAACAAGAATCTAATTTGTACATGTTTGCATAAGTCCTCGTGGCTTTCTTTAATTGAAATTTAAACAGATTCAAATAACAGGCAAAAAAGAATAAGTCAAATGTGAACAGTAGTTTATTCCAAGTATCAGCCGTGATTTAACATTGTTCCAACTGATATATGTTAAATATAGGAAGTTATCGTCCATCATCCAAACATGGAAGATAAAGGACATCACTTCCTGAGTTGCGTGTAAAAAAAAATTTTTGTAATGACTCGTCTTTCATCCTCTTTCTTCGACATATAGGGAAAGTTTCTTTACAGATTCAAATAATGAACTATTCGCTATCAATGACTAAATAAGTTAATGACTTAAAATGATATTTCATTCCATCAACTAAACAGACGATTTAGCAAAAAAAGAATGAATTAATCCAACCATCACTTAATGTCTAATGAGCAAACATTTAAGATACTTAAAATCTTTTCCAAAAAAAAGAAAAAACAAAAAGACGATAAAAAAGCTCATTTCGGAATGGATGAAACTGGAGAAGTGAAGGAAAAACTTACTCAAATGAAAAAGGTTTGTCGGATAAACTTAAACGAAAGTTCGCCATTATTACTACATCTCTTGAACTGCTTATTCTACACTCATACAAGCTTTTCAATTTCTTGTTTGCTCCTGACCATTAACAAACCTCTCAAAAAAAAAAAAAATCTCACGTAGTTGTAACTGACTTTTCAAAGAAGAGATTAACAATGAAATTCCATTTGTTTGATAGATTTGGCATTGCTGGCATTTTAAATATTTTAACATTCCAACGCGTTTCATCTGCTTAACGAACAAATGCGCTATCTTGAATTAAGTGATGATTTGCGTACTAATTGCTAATTTATATCAAAATTTTATAGTTAAATATGTCAGTGCATTAAACGGTCGAATATGAATTGGTTGGTCTTTATATTAATGCATTTGTTACAAAATATACTTAACTGCATGGTAGTACAACTTTCCTTTTTCATATTGATTTAATTCTTTTGGTATGGCTGTTTGTACCTTTTTTTAAATTACTTTTTTGGCGGAAAGTGTGAGATTAGATGAAAGAAAAGCACTAATTAAATTCTCTTAAATAACAAGAGAAGATGGTCATAGTCAGATTATGCAAATACGATAAACGAAGGATGCATAATTCTGTTTGTGATATTATTGGCAATTGTAGACTTTTGTCGTCTCTCGATTGATGCGAAAGGGAAAAAAAACCTTTGTGGCGAGGAAATTTGCTTAGCAAACAAGTATATGATTTTTAAGGTTTGCAACAACGATTTATTACTTTTGCGTCTTAGCTTCGATAGAAGTAGAAATGGTCAGAAATTTACCTTCGGTGATTGATGAAACGGAAAAGAGTCGCATTGACGAGAATGAGCGGTTTCATTTAATTGGCCCATCTGAGGTATAACATTAAAGCAAAATTTGAAATAATGAAATGAATATTTTTAAAATATTTGTGCCGATATAACTTAATAATGAAATAAGTTAAAGTTGAGGATGATATCAAACAATGTATAGGTTGATTGACATTTTATTGCTTCTTAATAATTTCTATTTTATAAAGATTTTCTTTTCAGAAAAATTGGACATTTCATCATTTAGATTTTAATGATTCCATTATTATACGTTTAAGGCATACACATTATGAATATTCTAAATCAAATAAAACTATGAGTGAGTAAGTATTGAAGTATAAGTTACATTATTATGCTACAGAAGTATTTTTTACAAAAATAATTAAAAATATAACTCTTGTATAACTTCATCAGTGCATTGGGAAGTGCTTATTTATTTATTTGTTTTAGACTTAAATTAAACTTTTTGGATATGAAAGGTTCACGTGTATTTTATACAAAGCTTAACCCTGGCGATACTTGGGTAAACTTTTTAATAATTCTATAATAATTAATTGCATATCTTGTAGTAATTAATTAGATCTATCTGATATTTCATTGCATTAGATGTTGAAGTTATATAATTATTACACGGTAACATCTAAATAGTTTTTAGCATGAATAAGCCAAATTAAATTATAAAAATTAGTTTCATAAGTTGTTAAAGTAATAACTAAATTTCTGACTTCAGTTTTCATTAAACCATTACTACATTCTGTTTTAGCTTATTATGGGTTGCACTTTACCTTATTATTCAGGTGGTTATCATTATGGCACTGATCACTATAGAAATTATTATGAATTTGTGTTCATATTCTCAGTTTATGGTATATTGGTATGCACAGTATATTATTACTCATTTTTTATTTTTTTGAAATTAATTTGATTAATCTTAAACTAACTACTGCTTAGTAAAGAATAGTGATTTTCAGGTATATCACGATGAAAGGTATTTTAGGTATATGTCGCTCTGCATTAATGAAACTCAAGATATTGTCAAATTCAGTTACTATTTAAATGGTATAAAAGATTTTGAAGCAATATTGGAAGTACGACCTAAAAGAGCTGTATGTAATGATTTCTATGTTATGCTAAAATGTTTCATATCATTGATTTTTTTTAATGCAATTTTTTTAATTTTTTGTTTTGCTATTTGTTTTTACTTTTGAATACGAAAAATTTTCCAGCGAATCCCAGGCGATTGGCATCTTGTAAAACCGATTCCAATTGGTAGCAAAATTGTTATCAAATATTGTCTGGGTGATAGAGTTGGGAAGAGTATAATAGTAATTCGATTAGCAGACAAGAATGGAATAGCAGCACTTACTGTAACTATAGACTATACAATAGGTGTAAGCAAACTTTTTTTTTCTTTTTATTTCATAAACATCAAAAATTTGAGGTAGCAAAAATTCTTAACCAGAAACTTTTAGATGCTTTTCACAAGGCGCGTTGGATTGGACGACAAAGACTTAGAATGCGTTAATTTTTCAACTAGCATACGGTATATTTTGAATATGCTGGGTAGAATTGAAATTGCCGTATTCGCCCATCAATATAAGGTTTCAGTTTTAATGATATGCAATAATAATAATAATAATTTCATTAGAAATCATTAGAAATAATCAGTTTGTGATGAGTCATGAATATTATTTGATCAAACAATAACAGCTTACAATATTATTTCAATAGGTGCATCATTTCAAGCATTATTAGACAAATCAATATTATTTTCAGCTACATTGAAATAATTCAAATAACAATTTAATGGCTTATTAGACGAAACAAAAAAAAAAGGAGTTGAAATGAAGCTTAAAGAAGCTTGACACAAGAATTCATTCAGAGTTATATAGAGTTATTCAAATCTAGGCTAAGAGAGTGGGTAACTAAAAGTAATAGTGGGGTAATTCAATTTAAATTTTCACATTTATTTATTTTATCACTTTTGCTTATTTTTAAGGTTACTATGTTAATGGGTGGAAAATATAAAGAAAGCAAGGAACCAGCTACGAGAGAATGTATGATTTATGGCCATCATTTATCTCCATACGACATTCAGCAAACTGTTTTTGATTCAGCAAATAAAAAAAACGTATTTTATGCTCATTATATAGAAACAGTGTGAAACTTTAGATTATTTATATCTGAAATATTGCTATAAAGTTTTCTTCTTTTTATTCAGTTAATATGTTTTGATTTATAAATATTTGTTTTAATTTTCATAGCTAAAAAAATTTCCTAAAGTGGATTAAACAAGTTGTAAAGATTAAGCAAATGTGAATATGCTAATGTAAAAAGATTTCTGAAAAGATTTGTCAATTTATGCTCGATGTAAACATTCGATAGATGAAAAGATCAATGCGAGATAGGCAAGTTCCGTTGCAAAAAAACTCCGCGGAAGATCTGCTTGGATTCTTTGTATGTGATTTTCTCGAAACTGACCCTATGTGCAGACGGTAGCTACGTTATGGACCGTACGTGATTTGGGATTAAAGTGGACTGGGTAGTTTGAACAGTTGAACTTTTTTATGTTTCCATATATAAGGTGCAAATAATTATATCATGTCATGGACATCTTTTAGAAGTTCGGCTTGTTTTCAGCAACTCACAATAAACTTCCGAAATTTAGATTTTTGATGAAATCTCATCAAGCCTAATGCCTTGTTACATTTTATTTACTGTCACTCGAAAATTTCTTCTAAACTGTGAGCTATGTCCAACTCAGACCGAATGGTGAACACAATTTATTCGTAGCATCTAGATACTTCTGCTGAAGTTTACTACATGCAAGCTGTTTTTCTTAGAAGATAGCTTGGATGCTCTTCTTAGGTTGTTTTATTGATATAAAAGTAAAATAATATATTGCTTATATTTTTATTAATATTATAATTATTTTCAAAAACTATACATACATCGATTTTATCAAATGACATACTATGAAGAATTTAACAAAAGTGTTTCCAGCGCAGTTCAAAAAATATTAATAAAGTTAAACTTTAAATAACACACAAAAAATTCCAACTTTTGAGTTAGAAAAAGCTTTTGAATTGAGTTGGATTAAAAAATAAAAAAAAAAAATCATAAATATAAAGACTAATTCATCACATTGCTCATCCTATTCTTCATTGTCAAGATTAAAAAAAAAAGAACTCCCAATAAAATTTACGAAAAAGGTTTAGACAGTTTTCTTTTTTTTTAATACAATGTATATTTACACATGTTTAAAAATGATTTTTCATTATTTGAATGTGATTTACGCTGTAATTTCTGAAAATTTTAGTAGTATCATATATAATCAAATACAGATCACTAATAATTGCATAATAGAAGAAAAGTTCAAGCGAAATATCTTTGACGTAAATAATATAAAGGTTCACACTGGTTCAATGTAATATGCATAAAATACTGTTGTTTTATCAGTTGAATCAAAAACAGTTTTTTGAATATCGTACGGAGATAAGTGATGGCCATAAACCATACAGTCTTTCATGTTATTTGATCGTATTTCGTTCATTCCCATGGCAACCTGCGAGATCAAAATCATTGAGAAGCTGAATTACTCTCTGTTACTTTCAGTTATTTCATCCTTCAACTTACACGTGAACAACTTTCATCAATATTTGCGTACGTCAATCATTCGACGTTTTTCCTTTTATAAATTTAAATCTTTCTCAGTTCTTACTAGATCAGGAGAAACATGCACGAAGCATCAAAATTTTAACTCGAAATCCAACCATTTTTGAAAACAATTTTAAAATATGATTTTTTTTCTGTTTAAATTTTTCTTCTTTTCGTTTCCATAGATTATTAAATTATTGTTATTCAATAATGCAAACTATTTTGATATAGCTGAAACAACGCTCTTTAATAACGCTTGAAATGTTGCGGAAAAGCTTAATTCCGTTTGAGTAACATCGCTAAATTTTTTTTTTTTTTTTTTTGATAAAATATAATATAATTGTAAGCTAATCGTTTCTAACAAAATTATTACATAAAATGGAAACTAAAACCTTATATTGATGTGAGAAGACGCCAATTTCAACTTTACCCAACATTTGCGTGGCAAATTGTGGGGTACTTCCAAAATTAACGCATTGTTTGTTTTCATTGTCTAATCCCATGCGTCTTGTGTAAAGTATCTAAAAGTTGCAACATTTCAATTCAATGATCAGTTTGTGAATGTTATTAGATTCGTAAACCATTTCATAAACAAATTTTTGATTTGCATGAAACTTGAAAAGTGCTTACACCTGTCGTATAATCTATGATTACATTAAGTGCTGCTATTTCGTTCTTATCCGTTAATCGAATATTTATTATACTTTTTACAGCGGGAGAATATCTGACAATGATTTTGTAACCTATTTGAATTGGCCGCACAATACGCCAGTTACCCGGGATTCTCTAAAAAAATTCTTCAATATCCGAAAATAACAAAATGAAAAATAAGTGATAATGGACGAAGTGAAATATTTATTTCAGCACAAAATTCTACATACCGCAGTTTCCGGTGGCATTTCCAATACTGCTTCAACATAATATGTTTTAACTATAGAGTGTTTAAAACCGGTAATATCGGTAACTTGATTAGTACACTCTTCCGTTTTTACTTTAAAACTGTAATCATGGAACAGCTGAAAACGATATATTAAGTTAAAAACACGGCTAAATTAGGAATAATTAAAAAGAAAAAAATTGAATGATTAACTTTTACTTCAAATAATAGGTACCATAATGCCAACACTTGAGAATAATAATAGAAATTCATAATACTTCTCATATTTGTTTTGTTCAAATGAAATAGTATTGTATTTACCATGACGGCAAAATAATGAAAACTGCAAATGGAAAAAGCATTTAATCAAAGCTAGCTTATTTATGCTAACAAATTAATTGTAAACTGATTAGATGATTTTGACTTCGAAGGCAATAAATTTTCCAACAATTAATTAAAATAAAAGATTGGGAAAATAAAAGAAATTTACTTCGGCATCGCCAGGGACAATCATAAAAGCAGCTATGTAAGTTCCAGTCACATCCAGAAAAGATATTGTAATCCTAGAAATAAAATGAATATTTCTATAGAGAATAATAAATAATGTTTTACAATATAATTAACACTTAAAAAATGTCCCACTTATTCATAATAATATATTTAATATTAAAATATTTACCAGGCTGAGCGTTTGTCAAAGAAGTAATAAAAATAGGAATAATGCTTTAAGCGTATCGTAACCGAATCATTGAAATTTAGTTGACGAAATGATCGCTTTAGCTGAAATAAACGATTTGCAAAATATAAACCTTAAGAAATAGTGAAGTTGAATCAAATAAATTTATGTATTATATTTGACAGCATTCCATTATATGAATAATATGACAAAGGGGACAAAAAAGTAAATTTTGTGTTACTTATTTCATTATATTGCAATATTAAATCATACTAAATAGCTTGCATATGTTTACAAATGGCATTTTAATGTTTGTTTTTTCATTTTCAATTCGTCTTTAATGCCATACGTCATTATCTTGTGAACTAGATATATAAAATTGTGCTTCCTTGTCTATATACGGCTCTTCGCTTTCATCGTACACAGAAGGCAAAGATTCCGTCATTATTTTCTTCGAAATTAAGGCACAAAAGCTGTAAATTGCTATTGCAATCCTGAAAAGTCATAAAAATTGGACTTAATATCACTCTAGTTAATTTAAATGAAACCATTTATCACATTCATGCGTATCTGAAAAACAAAAAACAAAGATTACTGAATTGCTGGTTTGTTAAAGAAAAACAAAAAATTTAGAAATTGTAATTGTAAAATACTAATAGCTTCTACAATACACTGATAAGGAAGATATAATAAAAATGAATAATTGCTTATCCAAATTGCTGAACTTTTCTTGTATTATTTCAGATAAAAGATTGCAATTATTGTCATTGACTACAAAGTGTTTATTGAATGTAGGAAAAGACGAACAACGACTGAAAAACTATCCATTTTCTTCTAGAAATTTTCATTTTAGAGTCACTCTTACATGTTTACCTCAAATTAAACTTTAGCCACTTCATATATCCATAGAAGTCCAAGAAGAAAAATTACACGGCAAGAAAATTTACAACTTTAGTTCAAATTTGATTTATCTTTCCTCAAATTAGCATATCCCTTAATAATTCTCAGAGATGGACTGTTCCTGTTTAGTTGACAGATGATAAAAGCTATCTCAATGACATATTTTAACACTCTAATGTTACCATTATGCAATATTTCCTTATCGTATTCGCCTAGATCACTTTTTCTTGTCAGTTAAGAAAATTTAATTAATAATTTCATCTAATCCTTTCCTCACAAGCAATTTCGATGAAATTAACTGAAATTTTGGAAGTAAAGTTTGTCACCACAGCATCAAGTAAGTTTACTTTCCAGAAAAACATTTACAAAAACCAACCACTTCATATCCTACCGCTTGTTGCAATGATATTTTTAACAACAAAACTTTGATTTAAATTAGTAATCTGAATGAAAATGTTCATTTGATATGAAAATGACCGTTTGATGCAAATTTGCGCATTTGTTCGTTGAGCGAACGATGTGTGTTGCATTCGTCATAACTATGAGAAATTTTAGTGTGTTCTAGCATAACATAAGACGGTAGTTTACTTTATCACTCATATCTCTCCGTCAACTTTCTGCATTCAGTTAATATTATTCAGACAATATTGAGTCAGTGCAACATTTGATGTTGGTTTATTCATAAAGTTTAATGATAATTAAAAAAGACGCGCACTATTTTAACAGTACGATTCTATTCCAATGTTAGTTAATATGATGAAGGTCAAATAATTGTAAAGATGGTATGTTTTCACTATTGTATTGTTTACTTTCTTGCATACTTATTTTCACGTGTTTATGCAGATGTTTCACATATTTTGGTAGGAATATATTCATCTGAACATTGTCATCTATTTTTGACAAACCCAAAAAGTGAAGAACAAAAGGATGACCGAATGCTTGACAGAGATGTAACTGATAATGTGACTTTGCCGTTTTATGTTAAATTAAAAGACAGTAATTGTTAAATCGTAAATATGACGCATGGCGAACGCAACGAGTTTCATTTACTTAACGAACAAATGCGCTATTTTGAATTAAATGATGATTTGCATACAAATTGCTAATTCAAATCAAGAAAAAAAAAGTTAATGCTGAAAAATGCATTGCACGGATGACAAAAGAGTGAAGAAAATGACTCTAATAGGCACATAAGATCAAAAATACCAATAATAATTTATCAACAAAAAAAGAAATAAGTAACAAAGAATTTGACCAACAGAAAATATAAATTTCTTTTCTTCAAAGTGCGAAAGCTTTAATGTTTCTTCATGTGTAATTTCAAGCCTAGTTTACTCTGAAAATCTTTACTGCACATAGTGCACTGGTCTACTATTCATGGTATGAACTGCAAATCGCTCTTTCGTACTAACTTTTCATGCATACTGAACTGTTGGCTTCTGTATGAGCATCATATGCTCTTACCGTACATGAAATTTTTTTGCATATCCGACAACTGTGAGGCTTCTCACCGGTATGTGTCATCATATGCTTTTTCATATTTTGCAAGTAAGCGAAATTTTTGTAGCATATCGGACAACTGTACGGCTTCTCTCCAGTATGAGTCATCATATGTTCTTTTATTTTTGCCACTTCTTTTCGACATATGTCACAACGTTGCCTTTTTATCGACCTTTTTCCTTGCTTTGATAGTTCGATCTCTTCCACCGATGTTTCGATTGGAACGAGCCGTAACAGCGGTTTAATTCCTTCATCACTCACTCCATCTACTGATAAGCCTTGCGATTTATTCCCTTCCTTTTTCAGTTTTGGAGCCGATAAATCCAGAGTTTTTGTTTGAAGCACTTGCAAACTAATCCTTTCCTCATCCTCTCCGTCCATTGATAAGCCTTGTGATCCATGTCCGTCATCTCTCACTTTTGATATTGATAAATCCAACGGTTCTGTTTGGTCCGTTTGCGCTGCCTCAAATGATATGAAATTACACTGGAAATTTTAAAAATTTCAAAATATTGCAGCGTTGTTGTATTTCTCAAACTTTAAGTGGACTTACAGTGGTTTGAATATTGATCAATTGGAAGAAGAAGCAGAAGAAATAGATGAAATGCATGTCAATGAGAATAATTTGTTGCCAATTCTGAAAAAAACATTCAAATTTACTGGACGGTGCTCACCGCTGCTGTTTGACAAATGCGCAAAGTAGAAATGTTTTTCTAAATATAATGGATTATTTACAAATTAATCATTGAAACTTTTGAAAAAAACAACATCCTCTGTCGAAATAAATGAAATAGAACTTACTGAATGAAATTTGTTGAAGAGAATTTGACAGAGGCCACACGATCACTTCTGTAAGGTATTATTTGAGAATTGTATGTATAAATGCTTATTCAGATGGGAGTGGCAAACTACGTATATTGATGAGCTTATCTCCACGTATAATAATATAAGTAATAATAGAATTTATAAGTGTTTAATTCTTTGCATTGAATTATTTCATTTTAGCTGCTATATTACATTGTTGGAAATAATTTATGCAAAACAGTTGCAACGTTTTTTGCACAACTTTATTTCGTTTCGATTCACAAATTTTCAAATCTTTGCAATATTGGTCAGACGGGAAAAGTACATAATTACATCGCTTGCACATAGATGATTTACATACGCTAAATGACTTCATCTAATATTTTGTTTGAACTACGTCTGTAAATTTTCAGATGTTTTATTTTAAATTCTTTGAAAAAAATTTTAATTTTCAAAAAATCGGAAAATTTAAGCGAAGATATATGTATAGTTTAACTGGTCATATTGATATTAAATTTTGTTAATCGGTTCTTTGCAATAAATTGAAAGACCTTTCGCAGCCGTAACAATACAAAAACGAACATTCAAAATATTTTTCTTGTAAATCTGAAATCTCACATTTTGTAAGCCTGTTATGCAAGTAATTTAAGAAAGCAGAAGCTTTATGATCGGCCATTTCTTTCTTAAATTTTTTTTTTCTGAACAGATTCGTCCATATTTTTTTCAGACAAATTCAATGTTTCGTTCTACATTTGTATTTATTAGATTTATATAGGAAGGTTAGTTTGATTGAAATAAATTAAAATTATTGGCATTGATCAAAAGTTATATGAAATAATAATGGCTATGTAACTGCAATGAAGAAAATAAAAGAAATGAATGCGATGTACTGATATCAAATGATTGATTTCTGATCCCTTCTGCAGGGCACTCATATATGAAATGAATGAAATAATCTATTTAATTTCTTCGTAATTCATAATGATCTAGTGATCACTGAACTGATTAGCAATCATTGTTCATCACAACAGTCAAAGCTAGATTTTATTGATTAATTTTCAACTTTTTGAGATTTAAAATATAATTGTACTGGTGTTTCCTACACCCAAACTGCTTGTCCCAATCAGTTAATGTCAGATACCTTAAATTAATTATCATTTACAGTAAAAAAGAATGCCAGAAATAATTTTCGATCTATCGATTATTTCCTCAAAATTTTATTCACTTTGATAAAACTCAAATTATATATTCTGAATTAATATTATAGTTACTCATTAATACCTCAGAAATGATCATATGAATGAGTGTTATAATCATTACTAAATTTCATGATTCTGATGAAAACTAGCTTATAATGATTATTATGATAGTCAAAATTGTTACTTTCGGAGTAATATAAATAAGGAAGATAATAGATATGAAAGCAAAATGGAAGATCAAAATATTATTGCAACATTTTAGTATTAATAAAATTTTGAAATTAATTGAGGCAGAATGATTCAGCAAATGGTTAAGGTTTCTAATTGGTACTGAATGAATTTTGAGATTTTTAAATGTATGGTCTTAATTTAAACTAATGTAAACTTTGAATAATCACAAAATTATTTCCTAAAATATGCATCGATTTTATGGAGTTGAAAAAATGATACCAATGATCTATCTAGTTATTTTTTCAGAAATTCTTAATTCTAAAATTTTGCAAAAAAAAAAATACAGATTTGAAGCTAAGAAAAGTTCTTGAAAATTATAAAATCCTAACTTCTGCGAAGAAAGTGGTATTGATCAGATATCAGCAAGATATTTTAAAAGTAAAAGTACAAGGATAACTGGAAGGTTTTTGTTATACAAGTGGTAACCGAAGAAAAAGATTTTTAAAAATTATTTTAATTTAAATTTTAAAAAAGTTAAAAATTTAAATAGTTAAAAACCAAAATTAATAATTTAACACTTTGATTAATAAAGGAAAAAAGTCAATAATTATTACCTGTCTAGCTTTGCTGAACAAAAAAAAAAAAGAAAACGAAAAAATAATCTTTTAGTTTGAATAATTTTTTGATGTTTTTTTCTAAAGAATCATTTAATTGATATACTATAACAAACATTTTTATTGCCAAAATTTTTTATTAAAAAATATTTATTAGAAATAATAGCAATATTAATTAAATTATAATTATTTTACAAAATTATTAAAACATTTGAAAAACATTAACGTTTGAAAAAAAAAAAGCGAAATATTTATATTATTTATATATAGAATATAATAAAAAAAATAAAATATTATCGATTTTTTCCTAGTGATTGCAACAAATTTAATTTATTTTTCACTTTATTTTTCATTTTTTTCTTCTGTTCAGATGAAAATTCAAATTTATTTTCTTCTTTGATCATTTTATAAGCAAATCCTAAATCATTAACGTGAGCACGTAACGGACAGTCATTGTATGGATTTGTATTGCAGCAACATACAACCAACGGTATAGACGTCATCGCATCACGTGTATCCGTGTAAAAGCATTTTTTGGCAAAGCCATTTTTAAGATAATTTGAGCATAATGCTAAATATGGATATTTTTCCAGTAATGTTTGATCAATATCTGATATGCAACCAGCCGAAAGCTAAAATAAATATATTATTGCACATTTAGAAAAAAAAATGAATAAAAGATTAAAAAATAAATTTCTTTCAAAAAATTTAAATACAAAGAAACTAAAATAATTTATAAAAAGTTTGGAAAATGAAGAATAAGAATACACTATTGTTTACTGATATAATTATAAAAAAAAGAAAGAAAAACAATTCAACATTATGAATAAATTTAACGTTTGTTACAGCAAAAAAAGATTTACAGTATTTTTTGAAAATGGAAATAAATATTTAAAATTAATAATGGGTTATTAAACTAGAAAAAATAAAAAACTGTAAATACCTTTTGCTATAAATAAACTATCTAATTTAGTTTTATGATAAAATTTTTGTGATAAATTTAAGATATAATTTTTATATTTTCATTCATAATTTAGGCCCTAACTTACATTATTGGATATTGCACGTGGATCACTTATCATAGCATATCGAATATGATAACAACCCATCGGTGATTTACACTTGGCCAAATTTCGATCAGGCTGAATGCAAAAATTTTGCTCCTGTCGAAATGTCTCTTCGGTTTTTGTCCACACTGAATCGATTGGTACTAAATCACGCATAAACATACTTTGTATTTCTTTCTTCTTATTACATGGAGTATTGCCATCTAAAATAAAACGATTATGAATTTTATCATCAATTTACTTCAATTATTTTTTTTTTTTTTTTTTTTTTTTTGGCAAATAAAGGATTATCATTTATTTATAAGAGTAACAATCATTGAAATTACACTTATTTTTCCCCAAAAAAATAAACAATTACTTCTGATGTTGACCACTTTTTTTTTTCTTAACAAAAAATAAAAATATCGTTATGGTGATAACAATTTTGTCAGAATTTTATCAATATTTTTGTCTTTTTATTAAGATTTTCTCGATCTTATTAGGATTTTTATCAACCTACTATTTGATAGAAATTGCAAAAAAAAAAAATGTTTGATAAATGTTATACAATTTATTATGAAGAGATCACCGATTAAATCTTTTATTATAATTTAAAATTTAACTATTTTTTTCTTTACTTTATTTTGAAAAAAAAAAAATGAAGTACAATTTTTGCAGCAACAAATGACACGAGACTGAAATGATGTGCAAACATATGCTCCATCTTCTGTTGCAATTTTAATGCAAACATCACGAATTTCTGAATGAGTTGTAATTTTTACCTAAAGCAAATTGCATTTAACTTATAAAATATCAAAAATACTGAAAACAAAAAAGAAAAAACAATAAAAAATAAGCAAATTGCTTAATTGTGAAAGAGTTATTTTGAATAGGTAACAAATAATACTGAAAAAATGAATGATTTATTTACAATAATTTCAATTTAACTCAAATAAAACAATTCTAACTTTAATTTTTAAAAAATTGCAATATTGTAAATTTTCAGTAAAGATTATAGGAAAAAAGAATGATGAATTAAATGAATACATACTTCATCACTGATCCAATGAGCTATAAGCTCTCCGTTATTTTTGACAACTTCCAATTGATCATAACACCAAAATGTTTCAGCTATTTGAAACAGAAAAATGTCATTCAAAACAAAAAGAAAAAAAAAAACAATGCCTTAAATTATATAAATATATTATATAAATTGAAAATGAATGTATTATATAAATTGGAAATGAAACAATTACAAACTATTTAACATTACCATAAATAATTAATTAGTTTTTTAATGTTTTTTTTTCAAGTGTTTCATTATTATACAAAAATCTTTCCTAGTCTTCTTATAATATTCAAATTCATAAATCATTCATTCATTAAAATACCACCCATTACTAAACCTTGATTATAAGAAGTTTCTATAACAATTTAAAAGTTTTTAGTTAAAACAATTAAAATAAAATTAAAATGAACAAAAAAATAAAATTTCAGTGCTCTCTTTTTATTTTTATATATATTTTTTTTTATAATTTCTTTTTTCTAATTAAACATTTTTTTGTAATCATTCAAAAATTTATATCACTAAAATAAAATTAGAAAAATAACAAGAAAAATTTTACTTGATGGTTTTGTGATATTATTCATTAAAAATTCGGTTATACCGGTTGGTGCTGAATTTACCGTTTTCGTCATGAAATCCATATAATAACATTTAGGTAATTTGGATTTTTCAGCATCTCTTATTGCTTTTGTTGCTATTTCTTTTTCTAATTTAACATCACAAGTTGACTGATTCATTCTGAAAAAAAAAAAAAAAAACAAAAAATTTTTAAGTTATTTATTTCGCTTATTAAAATTATTATTGAATGTTATCTATGAAATATTCATTCGTGAACAATTATACATATCAAATTTTTATCTTTTCGTCCATCTTTGGAATCTAATTAATTAATAATTATTTATTAACAAATGTTATTGCTAAGTTTATTACTCTGTTCATTAGTAAAACAAAAGAAAAATTTCAAATATTTTTTCCAATTTTTCCTTTTTTTGAAAATTTTAAATACTTTTAAAAAAAGAAGAAATTAGGTTGTTTTTTTTTCACTTTAATTTTCTCTTATAAAGAAAATTTGAAATTTTCTTGAAATTCTTCACTTCACAATAATTTTTGTTATAATTTCAAATTAAACATAAAATCATAGAAATAATTGCATCTATCTTATTTCTTTTTCGATATTTTTTCGAATTAATCAGTCAATTTACTTTAATTATTTAATTTTTCAATGCAATTAATCATTTAATTTACTATCAACCATTGATCACTCTTATAATTCAAACCATTCTCTTTTTTTAATATTTTTGTTTTCTTTTCAACTATTTCCTATTGATGCAGCTAATATTTTCTAATTAATCTTTTTCGTAAATTAATTAAGTATTGAATGAATGCAATTATCAGAAAACAGAAAACCGGAAAACCTGTCTGATAAAGGTTTTCCAGGACAGGTACACATATATACCAGTCTACCCATTAACGTATCTTCTCGTTTGTAAATTTCATCTTTGCAATGAATTGGTATGTTTACACGTATTTTTGCTTCAATAAATCGGCAACCAAGTTGGTCATAAGCGCTAAAAAAAAAAAAATTTTGTTTAATTTTATTTATCCAACTAATACATCAATATTTTCTATCGCTGAATTTTCTCTTTTTCATAAATAAATCTTTGATATATTTAAAAAAAAAAAATAAATAAATAATAAAATTGTTATTACTTTTCAATTACAAATGAATAAACTAAAATTATTAAAATGCAAAAGAAAAAATGAAAAAATAACGTATTTGTTTTGATTAAATTACTAATATTAACAATTAACGCATGAAATGATTAAACTAATTTATTTCAAATAAATTAAGTCATCTTAAGTTTTCTTTTCCTTTTAAATAAATCAATATTTTTCTTTTTAAAAATTTTTTTAATCAATAATTTACTATACAGAAAGCAAAAAAAAAAAAACACGTAAAAAAAAGAGAAGCTAACGTTTACTTACTTATAGTCTTCCTCACGTGGTAAATCCATATTAATATTCATATGCAAGTTGACAACTTGTCCAAGCACAAAATCATAATGCACCGCGCAATATTTTTTTCTGCTTGATAAGAAGACAAAACGAAAGGATGATAATTGATAGCATAATGGATCATAAAATATATGATAACAGATTGATTATCATATCATTGTACATTCAAATTTTGTTTGCATAATACAATTTAAATTTTGAATTAAAAAAGAAGAGTTTACTAAAAAAAGAAAACGGTTTGCTTTTTTTTTTTTCTTCAATTCTATTAATTAATACAATTCATTGATAAAATGAATTGTATTAATAGCAAAAAAAAGAAAAAAAGAATTGAATAATAAAAATAATTAAATATATATTTTATATCATATGATATATTTCTTTTGATTTTTATTAAACTTTTTTTTCTTCCTATCTTTTCAAAAAAAGATTTAAATTATTAAAATTAAAGAAAAACTAACTTCCATATAAATTGGCAGTAAATAGAAAGCACGATATGAGTACATATCATGATTGCATAAATGTTTACCCTCACAACAACATTCTACTTTCATCTCATTTTCCGGAAGTGTTTTTTGTTTTGGACAAATTAAACCACGAAATTGACAGTAATGATAACCAATTTCAGTTTTTCTTGCTAATGTACAACCGAATGCGACATTCATTTCAATTGTCCTCAAAAATTAATTTATCATTTTTTCTCTTTATTTTATAAATTTGAAAAGTTTAAATCTTAATTGTTAATGCTTATTTTTACACTATATTAGATTTATGATATTTCTATGATATAAGCTAAGTTAGATAGTAATTTAGATTACAATAAATGCAGCTATTAGTTAGATATAGCAAAAGTAAATTATCATTGATAAAAAACGAATTATTCATTATCATTTGAAAATTTTAGAGTTACAAATTTGAGATGAAAAAGCAAAAAAAAAGAAACCTGACATTAATTGTTTCATTTATTGCTCGAATATTTCAATTATATTTGTAGGAAAAATGAAAATTTTAATTTTGAATAAATTTCATTCTTTCTTTTTGATTAAAAATGATAATTTAAGAAATAGCAATTATTAATATAAATGTTACATTTGATATTCTTCACCAATTTTTTTCGTATAATGATAAATGGATCGACATGAACTAACATTAGCCGGAAATGCTTCATTTATTAATCGATTTTCGCTTAATGTTTCATTTGTTTTGAGCTAAATAAAACAAGAAAAAAAGGAGATTTTTTTAAAAGATACTACTAAAATAAAAATTAAATGTTATTATTTAACGAACATCATATTTCTTTTTTTAAAAAAATATAGAATTTAAAAAAAAAAATAAAATTTAATGTATGATGTTAACTTCAGTTTAAAAAAAATTTTTTTTCCATCAAATAATGCTAACATAGAAAATTATTATTATAAAAAATTTTAATACAATAACATATTCTTTCGATATATTTTTCTTTTTTTTCACAAATAATAAGCAATAAATTGTTAATTACTTGTAATAATTAGATATTATGAATGAAGTATTTAATGAAAAATTATATTTATACATTGCAAAATTATCTTTAAATAAGTATTATAATTTCTAAAATTTCAAATTTAATTTTTTAATCATTTACCATTCCAATAGCACAAACAATTTGTGACTTCTTTCTATATCTTTCATCCAATTTATTTTGATATTTCTTACGTATTGACTTCTCATCTAATTCATATTTTGCTAATTTATTTGGTTCATCGAGTGAATCGTTTATTAAAAATATCGGTTGGCTTAGATCAATTTTTAAATCATCCTTTAATGTACCGCAAACTTTGAATTCTTCATCGCAACAACATAACTGATAATAGAAATCAGGTGTTGATAATGTTACACATTCGGAATGCTGATAAAAAAAAGAAATATGATAATTTTATTTATCAAAAATTAAAATCAATTTGCTATCTAATTTTGATATAATCAATCACATTAATTCAACATGTTTTTGGTTGGAATTTGATTTTTTTTTTTTTGTCTCAAATGTTTAGTTAAACAGAAATGTAATTAATAATAAACTTAAGGATGATAAAAAAGCTAAAATTAATTTATTAATTTGATAATAAATTTTGCTATTTAAGAATTTTGGTTAAATAAAAAATTGAAAAAATTAGTAATTTAGTAATTTGAAGATAAATTTTTGGTATTTAGTGATTTTAGTTAAGAAATTATGTTAAAATATTAGTAATTTAATAATTTGAGAATAGATTTGAATGAATAAATTATGTGATTTATGTGATAATTAATAATCACCTTGAATGCAATATACCAATTCGATTTTTTTAATTTAAATTATTTAATATCATTCAATTTAAATTATTTAAAATATATTTACTCACATCGAAATGTTTATCTGCGCCATTTTTGCCAGCTACAATATATTTTGACCCACAAAATAATTTATTTCCTAATGCAAGATAATCGATTGGAAATGATTCATATTTTTGTTGTGGAAACTGTAATTAATAAAAATTGTGATTAAAATGATAAAACAATTTTTTAAAATATAATCAAAATAATGTTTGTTATTCTAAAATTAATGAATTTAATTTTAGTTAAAAGAAAATAATTTAATTTATAATAAAAGCTTTTTGGTACAATATTTTTCATTTTATATCCAAAAACTATCTATGAAAAAAAAGCAGGTAATTATAAGTCTTTTGACAAAAATTTATTACTTAATAAATTAAATTTATTATAACAGAACATATGACATTCATATATATTTTAATAATAATTAATCAAAATAATAATTTAGTAATGATTCATTAAAATAGCAAAATAATAATTTAATAGCAATTAATTAAAATGATAATTTTATGATGATTAATTAAAATAACAAAATAATAATTTAAATTAGGCAAATTTTTTACATCAAAATTTTATTTGAATATAAAATTCAATACATAAGTACTATAACATACGTAATTTTTAATAAGATCCGATGCTTCAAATTGTGCTAAATTATGCATATGAAATAATCCAACATCAAAATGAGGAATAAAATCTGCTTTTCCTTCGATAATTGCAATACATGAATCACCGGTATTTATATTTCCCTGTCATTTTTTTTTTCTTTTTTTATTTATGAAAAATATTGAAAATTATTTTGTAAAATTTTACATCTCTATTATAAATAATAATACTTTTTCTTTTTTTGATTGTACTTATTAAATAGTAATGATTAAACAAAATAAGAATTAAATATGAAAAAAAAAAGTGTAATAATCATTTTTAATTAATTATTTTTTTAAATTTATTTATATAAAATAATTTCATATATGTGAAAAATAAAAGAAAAAAAAAAAGCGAAATCATAAACTTTATGCAAACATTCTGCACGAATATTATTAATAGTTTCAATTTCTTTTGGTGATATTATCAGCTGATAATAATCTGCCAATAATTTATGATAAAATGAACTGGTGATAAAATTCATAGCACCATTGTCATCATCTATTTGTAAATTACCCTTACGACAAAAAAATATTGCATCAACATAGCGTAGTACTTTTTGCTCACTGTAATTTCACATAAATAAGTTATAGATTTTAGATTTTTAAAAATTTTTCTTTATAAAAATTTTTAAATCTTGTAAAAGAAATTTCAAATGTTAGGAAAATTGTTGCATTGATTAATAATTTAATAAATAAAATTAAATTTTCACCTTAATTTAAAATTTGCTGCTGCTTAAAAAATTTTTAATTTAAAAATTAAAAAAAAATAAGTTTAAAATGTATTACTTAATTTTTAGTAAATAAATTATTGATTGATTGATTTACTTTTTTAAATGCACTGTTGATTGAGTTAAATCATTCAATGTACTATTCAAAATAATTGGAAAATTTTCAGTGCTATAAGTAAAGCCATATAATTCATCATTGTTTGTTGTCGAACAAAGTTGTAATAAATGCTCAGCATTAATTGATTCAGCACGATCATTCGATTTGTAATTCACTGTTGTACTCAAATCCATTGCTAACCAATAATAGCAATATTTTGATGCTACAAAATTTGAATTAAATTAAATCTGTAATACTTTTATCACAAATATATTATTTTAAAAATAGAAAATAAAAATGACATCAATAATTTATATCAGAAATGATCGAAAAAACGAGAAAGTATTTTTTTAATTTTAATTTCATAATCCATACCAGTATAATTAGATTGAGTAAATAAGTTGGTGCAAACAACAGTTTCATTCGTCTCTTCTGAAAAACTGCTACAATTAGATTTTGAATTTTAAAAAGTTGAAAATAATATTTAGTTCAAAGCTAATTTGCATATTTAGAAATCTAAGCTTACTAAGAATTATACTGAATGTTATAAAATAGCTATTCATCTTCAACAAATTAATTTACCATCTTATCATATCATATCATATGTTAGCTATTGTGATGAATGACAACTGTAAGTTGTAACTAAAAATTATCATTTCTTTAATTATGTGATAAAATGAATAAAAGTGACTTCTTTTTTTAGTAATTACCCAGATAATGAGCTAATTAATTAATTAACTAACCAGTAATCAATGATTGCTGTGATAAAATGTATGGAAACTTGAACTTAAAACAATTGTTATTTTATAATCTAAAACTATTTTATGTTACTCTGTTTCTTTGAGAAAACAAAAAATCCTTAAAATCTGATTTACCTGGTCATTTCTCTTTAACAATAAAACAATAAAGTCAAAAAAAAAAAAAAAAAAAAGGAAAAGTTTAACTAAAATGATTCTACATTGTTTGATGATTAATAATAACTGTTATAATATTTATTAATTTGAAAGTTTTTTAAAATATTAAAATTAAAATTGCAAAAACTGTATGATGAATTATATAAAAATGAATTTTGGACACTTTTTTCTCTTTTTTTTTTTGAAATTTAGTTCAAACAAACGTTGTTCATTGCAAATAATTGTTGATGCATTGAGATAAAAGATAATTAGAAATAAATGAAAGTTGAAAATGAAATTTATCATTTTAATACATCGCAACATAAGCAAATACATTAACAACCACTAAAAGTGTTTTTTTCAACAAACAATTTTTTTTATCGATGAAAAAAAAAAATGTTAAAATTTGAAAATTTATATTCATTATTTCCTCACTAATTTTGCATAATTACATTTTAAAACAATTTATTTTAGTATTATTGTTAAATATATTAGTGCATTAAGCGGTCGAATATGAAACGATCGACAAAGTATAATTACTGTATGCTACGGTAGCTAATTTCCTTTCATACATTTTCAATTAATTACTTCTATTCTTCCAGTAGACAATAACGAACAATTATTTTTGATGGAAAGCAATAAGATTTAAATAAAACTATTAAGTAAATCTTTTTTAATGAATAATTGATATTCAAATATGATAAAGGAAGAATACATAATTATATTTGTGTATGAAATATTTAATAATTTTAATTTTAATATTAGTAATTTATCACTACTAGTAACTTTATAAAGAGGCTTTTCTGGTTTGAAAATATGTGACTTTTCAGGATTGCAATAACAATTTATAGCTTTTGTGCTTTAGTTTCGGATAAAATGGTAGTAGAAGCTATGCCATCTGTGTCGTATGTAAATGAACTACGACCTATAAGCCAAGATGATGATTATTATTTTATTTCTGGAAGAGTTCAAAATAAGGTAGTAAAATAAGAAGAGTTCAAAATAAGGTAAAATAAGGTAAAAAAAAAATAAAATATAGCATTAAAGAATTGCAAAAAAAAAAAGCAAAACAAAACATTTGCAAGTAATTTAGTATAATTTAATATTGCAATACAATAAAATAAGTCAGAAATTTTGTTTTCTCATCACTTTTCTTATGCTATTCATATGAAAGAATGCTGTCAACTGAATAATATTATGTAATAAGTTATTTATTTCTTCAACTTTACTATTTATTTGTAAATTATTCATTTCATTTGAGGTAATACGATCGTTTCATCGGTTAGAATTTAATGATTCTATAAAGATACGCATGAAGCATTACTCGTACTCTCAGACACTCTGTGATAAAACTCAATGCATGTAATCATTTATTATGATATATTGTTATGATCAAAAAGCATTTCCTGAAATGCTAATTAGAAATAATTAATTATTCCAAGCAATGTTTATATTTTATTCCAGAATTATATTTAACTTCTTGGATGAGCATGAAGATGAAATTGTTCGATTGACAATTAACCCTGGCACAGCTGAAGTATGATTTTTTAAATTTTATATTATTATTCAGAAACGTTATTACATCTAAATTGAAAGTGAAATTATTTTCTAGCAGTATTTTACAATTGATTTATTAGCATAAATAAGCTAATTTCAATTAAATGCTTCTTCCTTTTGCAGTTTTCATTATTGTGCGTTTCTGATGAAGCTATCACCGCTGCATTTCCGAATAACACTTACAATAAATATTATGAATTTCTATTATTATTTTCAAACATTGGCATTATGGTATATAATTATTTAAAATAGTAATTACTCTCTTTCAATTATTTCTAATTTAGCAATTAGCAGTCTTTTTTTTTTTAATTTAGCATATTATTTTCAGCTATTCTATAATGAATATTTTAAAGTTAAAGTGCAGCACTGTATCACTCAAATTACCAATATTACCAGTTTTCAACATATTATAGCTGAAACATTTGATTTTGAAGCGTCGTTGGAAGTACGGTCGGAAAATGCGGTATGCAAGATTTCTGTGTTGAAATAAGTATTTCACATCATTGATTATTATTTATTTTTCATTTTATTATCTTTGGGAGTTAAAAAATTTTGCAGAGAATCCCAGGCAATTGGCATGTTGTAGAGCCAATTCCAGCAGATCACAAAATCATTATCAAATATTACCCAAATGAAAAAAGCATAATAACAATCCAATTAGCAGATAAAAACGGAATAACAGCACTTAACGTAATCATAGATTATACGACAGGTGTAAGCACTTTTCAAGTTTCATGCAAATCAAAAATTTGTTTATGAAATGGTTTACGAATCTAATAACATTCACAAACTGATCATTGAATTGAAATGTTGCAACTTTTAGATACTTTACACAAGACGCATGCGATTAGACAATGAAAACAAACAATGCGTTAATTTTGGAAGTACCCCACAATTTACCACGCAAATGTTGGGTAAAGTTGAAATTGGCATTTTCCCACAACAATATAAGGTTTCAATTTTGATCTTATGCAATAATTCTATTAGATTCAATCAGCTTACAAGTATATTACATTATTGAAAGAAAAAAAATTAGCGATGTCACTCAAACGGAATTAAGCTTTTCCGCAACATTTCAAGCGTTATTAAAGAGCGTTGTTTCAGCTATATCAAAATAGTTTGCATTATTGAATAACAATAATTTAATAATCTGTGGGAACGAAAAGAAGAAAAATTTAAACAGAAAAAAAATCATATTTTAAAATTGTTTTCAAAAATGGTTGGATTTCGAGTTAAAATTTTGATGCTTCGTGCATGTTCCCTCCTGATCTAGTAAGAACTGAGAAAGATTTAAATTTATAAAAGGAAAAACGTCGAATGATTGACGTACGCAAATATTGATGAAAGTTGTTCACGTGTAAGTTGAAGGATGAAATAACTGAAAGTAACAGAGAGTAATTCAATTTTTATCCCATCTCTCCAGTCACTCATTCAGTTGATTCGGTGATATTTCGTAGATTACAATGCAAATAAACGAACGATCACAGTTAATTACTGCGGATGGATGTTTAATTTATGGTCATCACTTATCTCCTTATGACATTCAGCAAATTATCTTTGATTCAACAAATAAACGAGCAGTATTCTATGCTTATTACATATATCAGGCTTGAATCTTTATTCTCTCTCTCTCTCTGTCAAAAAGTTTGAATTTTTCCTCTTCATTCAATTGTTATATAATTTATCTTTGATTGTAAAAAGTGAAATTTTTAGCAATAAACGTAAAAATTAGAAAAAAAATATGCTATACCTTTTATTATCACCTCTGTTATCACTAGATAAAAAACTGTGTGAAATATATTCTATGCATTTGATTGAAAATTTCAATAATTTCATGTATTCATCTTTCAACAAGCTAAATATCATCAAACTTTCGTTGTAGCTTTCGTCCCAGGAATAAAAGACAGGTGTTGATAAGATTACACTTTTGCAAAATTGAACAAAAGTAAAATATTTTTTACATGTAATATAATTTCAGATCTAACCAGAAGAATATGTAGTTGTAAATTATCCATACATTGAGCGTCTCCGTGAAATTTATCGCCATAAAAGTAATCTCATACAGTAGTAGTTCAGCTACATGTCCTTCTGGTTAGGTCTGAAATTATATTCATAATTAAAACTCTAAGTTTGTAATTTTGCTGAGAAATTATAAGGTCTAATGAAAATAACCTACAATTTACCTTTATTGTTGAACAAGAAAATTGCTCACCAAAGATGCTTCTTGTCCTATCTTATAAAAAAAGACAGCTTTTAGTCTTGCAGAAATATCCAGACGCTAAGACTAAGTTATGTGCTCACCGTTCGATGAAGCTTAGAAGAGACTTTCAAGATGATATATACAGTAAATGAAATGTGACGAGGCACTAGGCTTAATGAGATTTTATCCGAAATCTAAATTTCGGAAGTATTTTGTGTACTGTTGTTCTTTAAGCTTACTCAGCCTTATACAACTGAAAACTCAGACTAAAAACCTAAAATCATTTTTTTTTTAAGAAATGCTTTTTGCGAACAAAGGCTTTCCTTGTTTTGCATAACTCATAAATTACTGCTTTGCAGAAACTACAGAATACCATCTCATCATGTCACTGTAGGATCATTTAAGTTTATATTGGTCTAGCAGTATATTGATCTTGGACACCAGGAACAACAGAGAGATTGACAATAAAAAAAGACATTTGGAAAATCCTACAAAAAATATAAGACAAATAAATACCTAACGAAAAATACCAAAATTAGTATCTTTAGAGCATTTAGATATTGTCCATTCTTCTGCACAGATGAGTCACTTATGAACCATCTACTATTACTATCTCGTACTCTTTGAATACAACTCCGCTTCCGCACGTTCCGCTGCGCTGACAGTATGATAATGAAAAAGCAAAGCCTACGTCATTGAAGCCATTTTACTGAGAACGCAATTGCCTGAGTTCATCTTCAAGACATATTATTACTTCCCGAAGATTATGCTTTGGGCACGCCAATCAGCCGTCACCCAGTCCACTTTAATCCCAAATCACGTACGATCCATAACGTAGCTACCGTCTGCACATAGGGTCAGTTTCGAGAAAATCACATACAAAGAATCCAAGCAGATCTTCCGCGGAGTTTTTTTGCAACGGAACTTGCCTATCTCGCATTGATCTTTTCATCTATCGAATGTTTACATCGAGCATAAATTGACAAATCTTTTCAGAAATCTTTTTACATTAGCATATTCACATTTGCTTAATCTTTACAACTTGTTTAATCCACTTTAGGAATTTTTTTCCTTTTTTTAGCTATAAAAATTAAAAAACAAATATTTACACAACAAAACATGTTAACTGAATAGAATGGATTATTCTATTCAGTTATTCAACAAACTATATTTCTGATTCATAAGAATATATCAGAATAAATAATTTAAAGCTTCACACTGGTTCTATATAATAAGCATAAAATATTGTTCTTTTATTTGTTGAATCAAAAATAGTTTGCTGAATATCATATGGAGATAAATGATGACCATAAACCATACATTCGTCCATAGGCATATCAAAAAATGTTCCTCTTACGGCTCGCATAGCAACCTTGAAAATAAATATTTTATTTTCAATCATTATTTTACCTAACTTTAAACAATTTTGATGAATATTTTTCTCAGTAATTTTATATATTTCATATTTAGCTTTTTCTCGATATGCTGAGAAAAAAATTTTCATAAAATTATAAAGTTTCAGTTTGTGACAAATAGCAAAATGTTAATTTTTGTATTTTTTCAAAAATAATATAATGAATTTATTTTGTGTGACTTCTTTTCCTTTCTATGAACTATCAGATTATATTATTTAGCCATATGAATTATTTTGTTATTAGCTAAAACGAACGAATAAATGTATTCCATGTTAATTGAAATAAAACAAATCAAGCTAATGTCTATTGAAATTAGCATTGCAAGTTTATCTTTCAGTTAAATAAATATAATCGAACAGTCATAAGTTTGATCTTTTTTCTGATGGATTATTGTATAAAGTCAAAACTAAAACCTTATATTGATGTGGGAATACGCTAATTTCAATTTGACCAACTAATGACCAATATATTCGTTCAGTGCGTGCAAAAACGACACATTTTATGTTTTCATTATCTAACCTAACACGTCTTGCAAGAAGCATCTGAAAGTTCAAAGTTCAAGCATTTCTGCAATTTAATCAAAATTCATAAATGATAACTCATAACACGTTTTTAGTTTTTATCAAATTCAAAAAAAAAAAAAAATAGAAGAGAGTACCCCCATTTTATGATCTACAATAACGGTAAGTGCTGTTATTTCATTTTTATCCGTTAATCGAATTGTTACTATACTCTTCTCATCTTCCTTATCCGGATAATATTTGATAACAATTTTGTGATTTATTGGAATTGGCTTAACAATATGCCAATTACTGGGGATTCTCTGTAAGAAAAATCTAAAATAAAAAATAAAGAAATTAAAGAAAAAGAAATAAAACAAAATAGAATTAAGTAGTAATCAATAATATGAAATATTTTAGCATAAAAAATGTTTGGCTTTTAATACATACAGCACTTTCAGGTCGTACTTCTACCATGGTTGCTAAACTATGTATGCCCACTGAATTGTGTTTAAATTTGGTAATGTCAGGAATACGACTAATACAGCTTTTGCTTGTAAGATAAAGTTTTTCTTTCAGGAATGCCTGGAAGCAACACTATCAGTTAATAAGTAATTAAATTAATGAAAAAAATAATCAAACTTTTAATTAATTAATTAGAAATGTTGATCAAAAAAATATGAACCATTATGCCTTGACTTGAAAACAATAATATAAACTCATGATACAAATGTCCATATTCTGGAAACCACCACATAGTAACAGCACTTTCATATGGTTTGTAAATGCATTTAAGTTTAACCTAAAAATGATCAAATGATTTAGCTGAAATATATCAAAAATTAAGCTTTAATTTATGTAATGCTTTGTTGTCTAATTTCCTAGAAAATATTCCAAATTATATAACCTTAACGTCTATTGCAAAAAAAAAGTTATACAAAATATAAAACTTTACTTCAGAGCTGCCAGGACAAAACATAAAATGAACAATTTCATATTCGTCCTTATCCAGAAAGTAAAATGTGACACTGAAATATGAAAATGTATTTCATCCAAATTTGAAATGTGTTTTTGCAAATTTAAAAAAATGTTCTAACATGCATTCAAAATTAGATAGCTACATTTTGAATACTTACAAACTCTGATTTTTATTTGATTTAGAATAATTAAAATAAGTATTATCCATGCGTATCATAATCGAATCATTGAATGCCAATCGATGGAATGTCCAAATCTTCTAAAAATAAAATCTCACAAATAAAAATTCTTAAGCTTAAACATACATTGCTCACATCATTATATAATATACTAACACTTTCACAAATAAAAATTTATATTGCATTATCGAATTATCATTGAATGATCATTGCATATGTTTAAATAAATATTTTAAATATTTCCTTTTTATTTTGAATTACTATTCTAGCATTATACCTTAGTTGTATTATAGAATATAAATCGTTCATTCTCATTTATACGACCCTCATCAATTATTTCAGGAACGTATGGATATCTGGTAAAAATATTTGTTGCCATTAACATTTTTCTTGAAACTAAACTATAAGAGCAATAAATTGCTACTGTAATCCTGAAAAGTATTCATATTTGTTGCTAAAGAAAAAATTTGAAGAAAGTATATACTTGTGAAACAGAAACTGAAATGTTTAATAGCTTCTTTAACACATCAATAAAGGAAAAACCTTAAAGAATATTTTAAGTTATGTGATACTTCATTATCAAATTAATAGAACAGCTAAGATAGCATGGAGAAAAAGAAATACTGTTGATTGCTGATTACTTTCAAAATATTTAAAACAAAAATATCATTGAATTCAGTGATATAAAAGCAATTTATTTTCAAACAAATTTCAAAGTTAATTTTTCTGCAATGATTTCATTCGAGTTTTTCATTTCATCGATACAATTCAGAAAAAATTAATTGGCTTATTCAAATTACTGAACTTTTCTTGTATTACTTCAGATAAAAGATTACAATCATATGTGCCTACAAAGTGTTTATTGAATGTAGGAAAAGACGAACAACGACTGAAGAACTATCCATTTTCTTCTAGAAATTTTCATTTTAGAGTCACTCTTACATGTTTATTTCAAATTAAACTTTAGCCACTTCATATATCCATAGAAGTCCAAGAAGAAAAATTACACGGCAAGAAAATTTACAACTTTAGTTCAAATTTGATTTATCTTTCCTCAAATTAGCATATCGCTTAATAATTCTCAGAGATGGACTGTTCCTGTTTAGTTGACAGATGATAAAAGCTATCTCAATGACATATTTTAACACTCTAATGTTACCATTATGCAATATTTCCTTATCGTATTCGCCTAGATCACTTTTTCTTGTCAGTTAAGAAAATTTAATTAATAATTTCATCTAATCCTTTCCTCACAAGCAATTTCGATGAAATTAACTGAAATTTTGGAAGTAAAGTTTGTCACCACAGCATCAAGTAAGTTTACTTTCCAGAAAAACATTTACAAAAACCAACCACTTCATATTCTACCGCTTCTTGCACTGATATCTTTATCAAGAAAACTTTGATTTAAATTAGTAATTTGTATGAAAATGTTCATTTGATATGAAAATGACCGTTTGATGCAAATTTGCGCATTTGTTCGTTGAGTGAACGATGTGTGTTGCATTCGTCATAACTATGAGAAATTTTAGTGTGTTCTAGCATAACATAAGACGGCAATTTACTTTATCACTCATATCTCTCCGTCAACTTTCTGCATTCAGTTAATATTATTCAGACAATATTGAATCAGTGCAACATTTTGAATATTAATATTATTCAGACAATATTGAATCAGTGCAACATTTGATGTTGGTTTATTCATAAAGTTTAATGATAATTAAAAAAGACGCGCACTATTTTAACAGTACGATTCTATTCCAATGTTAGTTAATATGATGAAGGTCAAATAATTGTAAAGATGGTATATTTTCACTATTGCATTGTTTACTTTCTTGCATACTTATTTTCACGTGTTTATGCAGATGTTTCACATATTTTGGTAGGAATATATTCATCTGAACATTGTCATCTATTTTTGACAAACCCAAAAAGTGAAGAACAAAAGGATGACCGAATGCTTGACAGAGATGTAACTGATAATGTGACTTTGCCGTTTTATGTTAAATTAAAAGACAGTAATTCTTAAATCGTAAATATGACGCATGGCGAACGCAACGAGTTTCATTTACTTAACGAACAAATGCGCTATTTTGAATTAAATGATGATTTGCATACAAATTGCTAATTCAAATCAAGAAAATAAGTAACAAAGAATCTACCAACAGAAAATATAAATTTCTTTTGTTTGAAGTGCACAAGTTTAATGATTTCGCATGTGTAATTTCAAGCCGAGTTTACTCTGAAAATCTTTACTACACATAGTGCAGTTATAGATAGGCCTATTCATATCATGGGTTACCATGTGGATCTTCAAAATGGATTTTTCTTTGTAACTTTTCCCGCATACTCTACAACTGTACGGCTTTTCATCGGTATGAGTCATTATATGTCTTTTCATATTACAGGGATCATTGAAAATTCTTTTGCATGTCGGACAACTGTACGGCTTTTCACCAGTGTGAGTCATCATATGCTTTTTCATATTACAAGACTGAGTGAAATTCTTTTTGCATATCCGACAACTGAATGGCTTCTCACCGGTATGAGTAATCATATGCTTTTTCATATTTTGCAAGCAAGTGAAGTTTCTGTTGCATATCGAACAAGTGTGCGGCTTCTCTCCAGTATGAGTCATCATATGTGTTTTCATATTTGTTACTTCCTTTCGACATATGTCACAACGCTCCCTTTTTATCGACCTTTTTCCTTGCTTTGATAGTTCGATCTCTTCCACCGATGTTTCGATTGGAACGAGCCGTAACAGCGGTTTAATTCCTTCATCACTCACTTCATCCACTGATAAGCCTTGCGATTTATTCCCTTCCTTTTTCAGTTTTGGAGTCGATAAATCCAGAGTTTTTGTTTGAAGCACTTGCAAACCAATCCTTTCCTCATCCTTTCCGTCCATTGATAAGCCTTGTAATCCATGTCCGTCATCTCTCACTTTTGATATTGATAAATCCAACGGTTCTGTTTGGTCCGTTTGCGCTGCCTCAAATGATATGAAATTATAAATCACAGTGTTTAAAAATTCAAAAGTTGTTGTGTTTTTCAAACTTTAAGTGGACTTACAGTGGTTTGAATATTGATCAATTGGAAGAAGAAGCAGAAGAAATAGATGAAATGCATGTCAATTAGAATAATTTGTTGCCAATTCTGAAAAAAACATTTAAATTTACTGGACGGTGCTCACCGCTGCTGTTTGACAAATGCGCAAAGTAGAAATGTTTTTCTAAATATAATGGATTATTTACAAATTAATCGTTGAGTTCCGAAATCTTTCTCATAACTTGGAACTTTTGAAAAAGACAACAGCCTCTGTCGAAATAAATGAAATAGAACTTACTGAATGAAATTTGTTGAAGAGAATTTGACAGAGACCACACGATCACTTCTGTTAGGTATTATTTGAGAATAGTATGTATAAATGCTTTTTCAGATAGGAGTGGCAAACTACGTATATTGATGAACTTATCTCCACGTATAATAATATAAGTAATAATAGAATTTATATTTATTAGTATAATAAAAACAGTTAGTGTTTAATTCTTTGCATTGAATTATTTGATTTTAGTTGCTATATTACATTGTTGGAAATAATTTATGCAAAGCAGTTGCAACGTTTTTTGCACAATTTTATTTCCTTTCGATTCACAAATTTTCAAATCTTTGCAATATTGGTCAGACGGGAAAAGTACATAATTACATCGCTTGCAATTGATATAAATAATTTACATATGCTAAATGGTTTCATCTAATATTTTGTTTGAACGACGTCTGTAAATTTTCAGATGCTTTATTTTAAATTCCTTGAAAAAAATTTTAATTTTCAAAAAATCGGAAAATTTAAGCGAAGATATATGTATAGTTTAACTGGTTATATTGATATTAAATTTTGTTAATCGGTCATTTGCAACAAAGTGAAAAACCTTTCGCAGCCGTAACAATACAAAAACGAACATTCAAAATATTTTTCTTGTAAATCTGAAATCTCACATCTTGTAAGCCTGTTATGCAAGTAATTTAAGAAAGCAGAAGCTTTATGATCGGCCATTTCTTTCTTAAATTTTTTTTTTCTGAACAGATTCGTCCATATTTTTTTCAGACAAATTCAATGTTTCGTTCTACATTTTGTATTTATTAGATTTATATAGGAAGGTTAGTTTGATTAAAATAGATTAAAATTATTGGCATTGATCGAAAGTTATATGAAATAATATTGGAGAAAATGAAAGAAATGAATGCGATGTACTGATATTAAATGATTGATTTCTGATCCCTTCTGCGGGGCACTCATATATGAAATGAATGAAATAATCTATTTAATTTCCTCGTAATTCATAATGATCTAGTGATCACTGAACTGATTAGCAATCATTGTTCATCACAACAGTCAAAGCCATCATGAAAAATCGGTCAAGAATAGAACGTAATAATTGAAGCTGTTGAAAAAATAGTGGACAATTGGACAATTAACCACCGTATGGTTAATTTAGCAAGCAAATCAATTTTGCATGTAAATGGTAATGAGCTGTGCAACAGAAGATACACCTGTAATTTTGAGCATGTATGGATACAAAAAAAAAAAAATTTTTAATATTGATATTATCAAATACTTTAATTGATAATAAAGTTTAAAAATTCGAGCAATTCATTCATTTACTTGCTATTATTATCATTATTACTATTATCAGTAATCTATTTACTGCTTTTTTAATTAAGACTAACAAAATTTCTTACTTACGCTTTTAAAAATTTATGAATTGCCAAAGCCTCAGAAAGCTGACAAACCCAAGGCAAGGTATGTCAGTTTTGTTTTTCCCATTCACTTCATTATATCATTTATACTCCATTTACATAAGTTCAACTTGGCTTATTTACTGTGAGAAAAGATTTTTGTATCTCTTGCTTTATATCATAATCAATCACTAAATAAAAAAAAAAAAGAGCCATTGCAATTAATTGATATTACTCATAAATAAAAATTAAATGCAAAGTAAACAATGAAAATAACAGCAGTAGCTCTTTTTCAAAATTTTAAGTTTTCACGCACTGAACTATAGCTATAGGCGGAAATACCTTTGAAGAAGGCAACATAATTCGGAAAGCATGTAAATATCAAACACACATGGAAAGCTATAAGAAACCCATTTGCCCCAACCATTTACTTGCAGAAAGCAAAATGAGAATTTACTGTAATATAAAAGGTATAGAACTGAGAGAAGAGCGGTACTTAACACACTAGAAGGGAAGTGAATTGTTCACAGGGAACTATTACCCAGTTTGCATCTGCTCGAACACTCCTTGAGACTATGCATGAATGGCTTAATGCGATCGTACATGCAGCTTTGGTGAGATGGAAGAATAAGTGCGCTCTTTTTGCCTGTTGGAAGAAGGGCGGTGCTTGACATACGCATGAGAGGAAGTATGCTCGACTTGTAAGGGATGAAACTAATATCCAGTTTGCGCCTCGAGCTTTAATATAAAGAGACGCTCTAATGGTACGTGCAGTTTTAGTGAAGTGGAAGGATAATTGCACTCTGTTTCAGTCGCAATTATTTAATCTTCCTGATCATTATTTAACCTTCCTGATCATTATTTAATCTTCCTGATCATTATTTAATCTTCCTGATCATTATTTAACCTTCCTGATCATTATTTAATTTTCCTGATCATTATTTAATCTTCCTGATCATTATTTAATCTTCCTGATCACTATTTAACCTTCCTGATCATTATTTAATCTTCCTGATCATTATTTAACCTTCCTGATCATTATTTAACCTTCCTGATCATTATTTAATTTTCCTGATCATTATTTAATCTTCCTGATCATTATTTAATCTTCCTGATCACTATTTAACCTTCCTGATCATTATTTAATCTTCCTGATCATTATTTAACCTTCCTGATCATTATTTAACCTTCCTGATCGTATCATTATTAGAATTTCTCTTCTTCTGTTTTGATCATTTTCTGTTTCATCAGTGCTATTCGATATTCGATGTGTGGCGCAATACTCCCAGACGACAAATGCCATCCATGCTTTTTCATATAAATCTTCAAATCCATTGTTCATTCGATAATTTTATTGATTGCAGTCACTTAACAACAGAAATTTCAGAGCTTATTTCTGTTTAACTTACATGCTTTAATGATTCGGCATATGTGATTTCAAGTCGGGTTTAATCCAAAAATCTTTATTGCATACAGTGAAGTGGTAGGCAGGTCTACTCATTTCATGATGGGAAGTTAGCTAATGCTGTTACTCATTGATGGATTTATTGTTGGGTTAGATTGTCAAATGTTTTGAGTGAATGGAATTTTGAATGCAAATAGAACAACTGAAACAAAATTCCAAATGTGAATCGACAAATGAAATGAATGAATTTCGTTGTTATATGACCTTATGATATTCATGTTATTTATGCAATTATCGTAATGAGAAAGGTTTGTAAACGAAACAACCTTCGCACACATCCCAGTCAGATCCAACCGGTTTCCAAAGTGTAGGCATCCATGATTTCTTTATTTTTTAAGTTCTAAAGAATTAGTCACATTTATTTTAATCTGTTTAAAAGCAATTTTTTTTTTTTTTTTGCATTTATAGTAAACAAGCTGTTGCGTTTCCTTTTTGATTCATTTAGAGATCCGAGATAATTTTGAGGTAATAGAATAACTTTTGAAGCCTGATTTGAATAGTCCTTACCTTCCAACAAACCTGTTAACTATGATGATATTTCTCTCTGTGTAAGTTGTTTACCTCTTTGCATTTAACTGACTCCATCACAAAGTATGCTAATCTGTAAGTTTTAAGTGAAAAGACAGAAAAAGGAATTATTTCTACCATATGACTTTTCTAGATGCAACTAACTTTACAATTTCATAAATTTACAGCATGTTGGAGATCATAAGGGAATTTCCTTATAGCAGATTTTGCATAAAAATACTATATAATCAACCTTATACTATGCAACAAACAGCGAATAAATAAAAGCAAATAATGTATAACTGAGATGCAGCCAACAATGTAAATGATATGTTGTGATTAAGATAATTCTTTTTTTCCCAAAAATTTATTTTTAATTAATTTATGCAATAATCGAGAAAGGAATACATATGAGCAATTTCATTTCATTAGTAATTTAACAATATCGATACTTATTTGCAAATATCTCGTGCATAGCACACCTGGTAATCAATGGATTATCAATCTGATGCCGTGTAAAATTTTAAATCCTGAGGGTATTGTGGCGCTATGCTGTATTTTTAACTTTAAGTGGACATACTGTTGTTTGTGTGTACGTGTTAGAAATAAGTGTTAGAAATCATCAATTGGTACTCATTTGACAGCTGCCCTCATCACATTATATGTTGCAAAAAAATTTAATAAGCTTATTTTACACACGTAGCAAATTTGACAAAACAAATTTGAAAATATAGTCCAAACCAAAGATTAGAAAGATTTGCTGAAATCATTGAAAATGTAAAAAAATTGAAGCAGAATGGAATAAAATTGTGCAAAAAATATCACAACAATATCACAACTGCTTTGCATAAATTATTTGCAACAATGCGATATAGCAACTGAAATGGAATTATTTAGTGTAAAGGATTAAATAGTGATTGCCATAATCATATCATTCATTGTACGTATTATTTTATATTCTATTGTTATTACTATACCTGTGTTATTATACGTGGACATAGGTTATCAATCCACGTAGTTTGCCACTCCCATCTGAATGAGCATTTATACATACAATTCTCCAACAATACCTAAACAGAAGTAATCGGGTAGCCTCTGTCAAACTCTTCTACAAATTTCATGCAGTAAGTTCTGTTTCACTTATTTCGATGGAAGATGTTACTACTTTTCAAACTTTTGAGTTATGACAAGGATTTTGGATTCGATGATAAATTTGTAAATAATCTAATATATTTAAAAAAGCATTTACTTGAAAAAATTTCTCCTTTTCGCATTTTTCAGAATTGGCAAGAAATTATTCATTGACATGCATTTCATCTATATTTTCTTCTTCTTCCAACTAAGCAATATTCAAACCACCGTAAGTCCATTTAAAGTTTAAAAATGCAACATAGAACTGAGATTTAAAATTTTACACGGTATCAGATTGATAATTTCATATCATTTGAGGTAGCGCAAACGGATCAAACAGAACCGTTGGATTTATCAATATCAAAAGCGAAAGAGAAGAGGGATGGATTACAAGGCTTATCAATGGAAAGAGAGAATGAAGAAGAGATTGGATTGCAAGTGTTTCAAAGAAAGCCCTTGGATTTATCGGCTTCAAAAGTGAAAGAGGAAGGAAATAAGTCACAAAGTTTATCAATGGAGGAGGTAAGTAATGAACGAATAAAACCGCTGTTACGGCTCGTTCCAATCGAAAAACTGATGGAAGTAGTGAAACTATCAAAGGAAGAAAGAAGGGCGGGAAGGAAGCAGCATTGCAATATATGTCAAAAGGAAGTGACACATATGAAAGGACATATGATGATTCATACCGGTGAGAAGCCGTACAGTTGTTCAATATGCAAAAAGAATTTCACTCAGCTCGGGAGTATGAAAAAACATATGATGATTCATACCGGTGAAAAGCCGTACAGTTGTCCAATATGCAGGAAAAGTTTCACACATAAACACCAATTGCAGTCACACATAGTAACTCATGACATGAATAGACCAGTCTATCACTGTACTGTATGTAGTAAAGATTTTCAGACTAAAAACGGCTTGAAATTTCACATGCAGAATCATTAAACCTTACGCACGTTAAAGAAAAGAAATACGGTTTGCTATTTCTATTGTTGTTGATTATTTATATTTTCTATTGGTCAAAATCTAGTTACATATTCCTTTTTTTGTTGACAAGTTGCTGTTGGTGTCTTTGATCTTATATGTATATTAAGGTCATTTCCTTCACTATTTTGATTCCTGTAACGCATTCCTCAACATTAGCTTCATCCATTGATTTCATTTGAAGTGACCATGTGTGCTATGCACGAGATATTTGCAAATAAGTATCGATATTGTTCAATTACTAATGAAATGAAATTGGTTCCTTCCTCGATTATTGCATATATAATTGCATATTCGATTATTGCATATTTGCATTTTTTTTTTTTCTTAACAATTTTCTATACCAATTGTCACATAAAAGAATATGAAAATTTTCGTTTTCTTATAGAAAAATTTCCTTTTAAGTTTATAAATTTAACTTTTTCAATTATGGAACTAAGAAATATTAAATGATGATTATTCTTATGTCAGTTAAAATATTCTACAGTTTACATCAAAATGTTTCTGTGTGACGAATTTAAGATGAAAAAAATTTATTAAAAAAATTTTATGCATGAATTATCATTAATTATTATTTTTTCCTCTTATCTTCCTTCGCTATACCAGTACCAGCATGATTGTATTTTGTATGTCTTTTAACAAAGGGTCAAAGATCAAACATCAATGAATATTTATTTCTGTTACTAATATTATGGTAGTATAGGCATGTTATGAACAAAATGATTAAAATATACAAAAATTTTTAGCAAATTTTTTCGTTTTTATTTTTGATCCTTTTCGGTAAATTTATTTTCCATACTTAAAGAAATGAAAAAGGGCGACGGATGATTAGCTCAACAATATGTTATTATTGTATGTTGAGCTAAAAATAGTTATATTAATATTTCATATGTTGAATTAGAAGTTTTAGTTATGTTCAATCATTATCATAATTTCAATTATTTTCATACTATGTTTTAATTTAATTTTTATAACATTTTTTATTTTCATTCTATCAATGCAGTTTAACGAGAAGGAAATGAAAAGATATTTTTCTTTAAAAAAATAGGTAAAATATTTCTTTTTATTTATTGTAATCATTCTAAGAATTGATTGCTTATTTAACTAAAGTAGTAATAATTCGATTTTCCCTTTCATATTATTCACTCATTTTTCTTTATATTATATTTTCAAGAAATTAATTTCAGGTTATGTATTCCAGTTACACATATATTTTTCATTTTTTTTTAAAATTTTTTTTTCATTTTTTAAAAAAAACTTTAAGATTAATTATAGATATAATATAGTTTCGCTGCATTTTCTAGATCTTTTGCAATTAATTGATCAGAAAGAAATAAAAATATAAAATCTTATTGTTGAATATAAAATTGATGAGTGTTATGGATTTAAATATTACTTCTTCTTATGAATGACAGTAAAATAGAGAAGTAAGAAAAAAAAAAGAAACCATTTTAACACCGTTATCAGATTTGACGATAAATTTTTCCTCATCATTACATCAATTAATTCATCTCATTCCTTGTCTTATCTTACTATCATTTATCATTTACTAGCATTTTACATTCTATTTAAAATAAATATAGTTGAAAAACAAAAATTTGACATTTTCGCAACAAAGGAAAAAGTCGAAATAAAAAATAATAATCAAAAAATAAATAAATAAATATTTTACACATATATAAGAGCCATACTGCCACAAATGAAAAAATATTTTTACAAAAAAAAGAAAAAAAAAAGAAAATATGTTACAATTAGATGGTAAAATTTTAAACATCTTAATTAAAAAAAAATAATCTTGAATTTGAAAAAAAAAACAAAAACAAAACATATATATATATATATATATGTAATTTTAAAAAAAAATAAAAAAAAGGGAATATAGAAAAGATGTGTTTCATGCATTAATTTGGCACAAAAAGGCACGAATGGTGAGCCATTACAAAAATGACAAATGATAAATAAAGATGGAAATTATTACACTGATAAAATAGAGAGAAAAAATAAATATTGGTTGCTAAGAAATGATGCAATTAGAAAAAGAAAAAAAAACAATTTTAATTGTTTTAATTTTTATTACATAACACAGATTGATTAAAAAATAAATATTTTCAAGAAAAAAATCTAAAAAAAAATCAATCAATTAAATTCAATGAATGGAATAAATGAATGAAAAAAACTGTACACAATAATCACAGATTCGCTGAAATTCGGCGTTGCATTCATTTACATTTGAAAAAAATTTAAAAAAAAAACAAATAAATAAAAATCAGAACAGAAATAAAAGAAAGATTTTAGAAAAAAAATGAAATGATTTAAATTAAATAAAGGAAAAAATCAAAAAAAAAGAAAAGAAAATCAGACGAAATTGGAATCACTTCTTAATTTAAATACTGTTTAATTAGAATCGAATGTTATGAGTTTTGGTGAATATGGGCTAATATAGATTTTTTCTTAAATATTTTCATTTATTTATAATTTAGTATCATTGATAATGTCTGAAGAAAAACAAAAATACCAATCATTCATAACGATTAATTTTAATGAAATTAAATTTAAATTTATTTCCGCTGCATAAAGTAAAGGATATTAAAAATATAATTTTTCCTTTTTTTTTTCTTGAACAATTAAATATTTGGTAATGGATTAGAAAAAAAACAGAAACCTAGAAGACCCATAAGTTTTATATGGAAAAGAAGAAAGAAGAATCTGCCCATATATAAATGAATCGATAAGTGAAATTTCAAAAAAATTTATACTAAATTAAAGACAATGAAGATATTTGAATTCAATTATGTATCAGAAATTAAAATGGAATCGTTATTTTTTTGGACTGGAATATCAAAAGTCTTAAAGAAATAAGAAACAAGTAGAAATTTTAATACATTGAAAAAAAGGACATCACTTTCCCGCTATAAGTATGAAATATTTAATAAAATATTATTAGGATGGAAAATTTTTCGATTTCAAAACAATGAACAAGATGTTTTTATTGTAATATTAAATTGTATAAAAATTTAAATTAGCCGAGTCAATTTGATTTTGAATTAATAATAATAATAATAATAAAAGGGAAAATTATTAATTTGAAAGGAAAAATGTTACCTGAAAGAAAAAAATATTTTTATAAATTTTTATCAAACAAATATAAATACAAATAATATTAATAATTTTAGTTTACATCAATCATTTTAAGAAAAAAAGAAAAATATATAAATAATTTTAAAAATTTTCGTCCTTTTTTTCTTTTGTTGCTCATAATTGAATGATATTTTTTCTTAATTCATTCATTGTTTATTGTACATCGCTCTCAGTGGCGTATTTCATTCGATCGCCACTACCTATAATTTTAATTTCAAAAAATTTTCATATTATATAATTTTTTTTTTTTGTATTCCAGTTTCAAATGTTTTATTTTATTTCTTTTATATTTAATTTTATTTGAAATGAAAAAAAAATAACAGAAAATGAATCGTTAAAATAAACGGAAATAATGATGATATGAATAAAATGTCAAAATATTAAATGAAAGAAAAAATTTTTGATATTTTTTTTATTTTAAACTTTTTACTCAAAAATTTGTATACAATTTTAATAAACGAATTAATTTCAAGAAAGAAAAAAATAGGAATAATTAATTTCAAATTACCAAAATATCTTTCCTCTGGAATACGATGATTTTTTTGTGGATCTCGTTTTCCTCTTGGGCAACGACAAAAATCACCACAAAATGGATGCGCAAAACCACATTCATCGGCTGTATTTGAGCAATTTGGATAATAGCTAAATTAATAAATGTTTTTTCTTTTTCTTAAAAAAAAAAAAAAATGACATTAAATTAACTTTCAAAACTTAAATAATAAAATTGAAAATTATTTGAAATAGTATGGAAAAATAATAAATTAATATAAAATTTATAATTTAAATATTACTGAATTATATAAATTATTGACTGATTTTCACTTTTTTCTTTTCTGGTTACATCAATATATATTTGCAAGGAAATGTACGTAAAATTTGAAAAAGTTACCGGCACTGCTCACGTGGATGCCAAAAACGACATGGGAAATCGAGGCGATGCTTGGGGTTATTCCAATGGATGCACTGCGGTGCTGGCTTATTAAATTTGCCGCCACGTTCGATTACCATTTGATCCCACTGTGACATTTGGGTTGATACTGAGGTCATACTTGATGTGTGTCGTTGTGGTGTTGCTACATTTGAACAATCTTTAAAAAAAAAAGAAAAAGTTAATATAAAAAAATTTTTTTTGAAAATTTTGTTTAAATATTTCAAATTTTTTCTAAGCCTTTTTTTTCTCTCTAAATTTTTTCAGTCAAATATTTTATTTTAAAAATTTTAAAATATCATTTGCCTTTTATAGGATTAGATGATGGTTTATTGTTATTGTTGTTCAATGGTTTAATACCCTTTACAACAGCTGAATAACATAGTGGACTTCCGGATTCCGTATTTGGTAATGGTGGATATTCATTTACATATTCCGCTATATTGTAATTCTAAAAATAAATTAATGATTTTTAGAAAAAAATTTTTGAAAAATGAAGAATTGTAAAAATTGATAAAATATTTTAACTTAATGTAAAATTTATGATGAAAAAAATAATTGGAAAAATATAAAATCCTGTTTTTTTTGTTTTTGTTTTTTTTTTTATAAAATTCCAAAAATAACTTTAAGTATGATTTTTTTCTTTGACATGTAGTAAAAACGAGAAAAAAACAGAGAATTTTTGTTCAAAGATAAATGAAAACATTTAAATCTAATTTTAATTGCTAGAAATCATCAGAACATGAAATACATACTGCTGCTCCATCATATGATGAATGATTCATCGCCATATTCGTATTTTCATTTAAACTTTTGTTACATTCCATTTCCCAGCTATTTCTATTATCTATAAATCATAATACTGCCAGATAAATCAATCATTGAAAAACAGCTTAAATAAGTTCTATAAGTTAAACAAGTTGGAGAATTTGTTTTAATTTGCTGTTAAACTAATTTATTTTGTTTTAAATAAAATTTAAACAGTGCAACTTTTATCCTTAAAATTATCAAACATTTTTAAATACAATTAGAAAAAAATTTTTTAAAAAATCTACGAAAACTTTCAAAGATATTTTTTTAAATTTATTTACCATTTTGATTGACTGCACAAACAGCATCCTCTTCAACACCATAGTCATCTTCATCTTCAGTAAATACTTCAACTTTAACCTCTTTATGACTTTTTGAATCATCCTCTAGTTCTTTATTCTATAAACAACAATAATAAAATTACCAATTCACTAATCAATAATTTAGAATTTGAAATTTCAATCCTCCTTAGGCTAGTAACATGCTTTTGTGTAGTCATATATTTGTGCTTGCTATACTCATAAACTTTTCCATAATTAATTTTCTACCACATCAATATATCATCTCTTCATTTCATTTCTACTTAAATTACTATAAAATGTAATAATTTTGGAAATAATTTAAACATTTTAACAAAATCTCATATTAATCCAGGGTTAAATGTCGTAAAATCACACTAACTTCTTATAGAATTATAAGTTTCGGGAAGTTTTTGATTGAACTGTTATGGAATGTCATATATGTATGTAATGCAATATCAGATGTACTAAATAATTATTTGCAAAATTCATAATTCATGGGAAAAAGTTGACCTACTTAACGTGATACATGCAATGCATAAAAATATATGCTAAATGTAAAAAAACATTAACTTTTATGATTCATATAATTCGTGGAAAAAATTTAACCCAGTAAATGTGGTATAGTCATTATATGATATGTGCTAAATAGTTATTTGTAAAATTTATAATTAGTGGGAAATTTTTGGCCTATTAAACCTGATATGTGCAATAAATGATGATACCCTGAGAAACAGTTATTTTAAAATTTATAATCAATCGGAAAATTTTAACCTGCTAAACGTGATACATGCTATACGTAGATGTAATATTCATAGGTGTCATGTAAAATTCATAGTAATTAAATAAAATGATGAAAATATGTGGTTAAAATAAAATATATATTTAAGTAATTAAAATATATAACTGAAAATGAGCTAATAATTAAAAATTAAAATAAATAATTAAAATATATATATATATTTCATACCTTATTCTGTTCATAATCAATTGTCGTATCATCCATATTGCAATTACTAACTTTGAGCTGTTGCATAACTTGTTGTTGCAGTTCATGTTGCTCTTGCAAAAGTTGTGATGTTGTAGTAGTAGCAGCAATTTGTTCCGCTACATATGGATCGAAAGTAGCTGTAGCAGTAGCAGTAGCAGTAGTAGCAGCAGGAGTTGATGTTGTATGTTGTGGTATTGCAGTATGTGTTGTAATATTTGCTGCTGCTGTTGCTGATGATGCAATATTGAATATTGTAGTAGCAGCTGCAGCCGTATCAACATGTGCAATAGCAGCAGAAGTAATATCTAAGCGAAATGGGAAAGTCAACTGTTGTATAAAATTTAATGGTAGCATCACTGAATACGGTACAGCTAATGGTTGTGGTATTGCAGCATTGAAGCTATTACCGATTGTTGCTTCCAGTGTTCCTACATCTGTTGGAGTGTTTGGATACTGTATGTTGGGCCTAAAAATTTTGGTTAAATATCACTGTAGTTACAGTATGCTATTTGGAACAATACATTACAGTATGCAATTAAGAAATGCTATAAGACTAAAAATTTTTTGTTCTTATTGATTTTTCGTTTTCAAAGAAATTTTACTCTATTATTTATTATTATTATTTATCACTTTATTATTAAAAGTTCTCAAGTTAATACATTTCGATGTTACATGAAAAGATAATTATAAAAAAATTTTTTATGACAGATTGGAAATCATTAATATCTTTTAATATCAAAATGAAAAAGAATGACAAATTTCAGCAATCAGTTGAAAAAGATTAAAAAACAAAAAAATAGAAAAAGTAAAGCAAACGAAAGAAAATTTTTAAATTATACTACCGTTCATTGGGTGCATTGGTTAGTTTTGCAATTTTGATATTGGAAAGGAAATATGCACTGGTTAAAATTTCCAAACGATAAGCATCCGTGGTAGAAGCCACTAGAACGCCGTTATTCGGCGAACAAGCCCGAATACGTGCTTCAAGTAACGATATTGCACTGAAAATTTGAATGAATTTTAATTTGATAAAAAGTTTAACTATAATTATTCACTTAGCAAATAAATTATTTCACATATTGATATTGCACGAATTTTTATTTCACCCAAATTACAGTTAAATTGTTATATTCTTAAATTTGAAACATTTAATGTTTTAGTTTTTAATTTAATGAAATTATCGATATTTTTTTTTGCAAAATTTGAAATTTAAATGTATAAATTTAAAAGTTTAAAGATCGAAAAATTTTCTTCTTTAAAATAAATAATACTAGCCTCTTTTTTGATCAAAATTTAAATAATCACAAAATTATAATACGAATTGCATTAGACATGTATGACAATAATACAAAAATCACAATTGCAATAATGCAATCTTTTGATTTAGTTTGATCGTAATCAGCTATTAACGACCTTCTGGTATGCCAAAATGTCATTGATAAATTCATTTATCACCAACACTCTCATTACAAATTTATAATAATAATTTTTTTCTTTTTTGAAATAAAATACTACAATAAAAATTTTATTCTGAATATTTTAAATAAGATTTATTTTATAATGCCGTCTGATACTTCGTAAAGATAAAAAGAATAAATTAAATTAAGAGTCATCTCCAAATTATAAACTATGATGTTTTTAATAATTTGGATCACTTAATTTTTTTTAAAACTCATCTTATTTTATAAAAAAGAGAAATGAAGCAATAACTAGAATTAGTTAAGTATAAGAAATGCTGGTAAAATTTTTTATCATCGAGAACAACAATGTTATGATTAGTTAAGATACTGATGATGCATTAATTTATTGATAGATAAATTTCATTCTATTAAATATATATTAATATATCAAAAAAAAAAAAAAATTGATATTAAAATATCAAAAAATTGGAGAAAACTTTATTAACTTTAAAGAAAAAGAATAAAAATAAATGAAAAATGCTGAATAAAATACTGAAACAAAAAAATTAATAAATATTGAAATGCAATAGTGATATTAATAAGAAAAATATTACGCACAAATTGTCCAAAAATGGTAATTTTATCTTAAAAAAGAAAAAATGAGAAAAAAAAAAGAAAAAAGGAAAAAATGCTAGAAGAAATAGATTATATGTTGAAAATATGATTAGTCGATTTAATAAAAAATGAAACCTATCTTAAATCAAAATCATTCAATTTAATTAAATAATTCAAGTCAATAAAATTTCAGAATCACTTCAAATTTAATACACATTTATATGTATTGAATAAAAATGTAAAATGTTATAACCAATAAATGATAGTAAAATGTCATATATTTACACTAATGAATGATAAATATTGATATGATTAAAAAATTTGCTAACACTGATAGTAGCATAGTGATTATATATTTGCAATGCATTATTTGACAATAATAATCTTTGCTCTACTTTCCTATTGTTGATAGTATTTGATAATTTGTTTACATTATTAAAAATTTGAATTAATTTAATTTGTTCTAAAAATTTATCATCATATTGTTTGTCATTAATATACTATTATTATTATTACTACTACTACTACTACTATCGTTATCATTAATTATCACTATTCATTTATTGCTGCATATTATTATAATTACCACAATCATTAGTACTATCTTTATCATATATATTATCAGCACTATCATAATTATCACAAACGTATAACTACCATTATCAATTATATCATTTCACACTAATTTTTAGTCAAAAAATTTCTTTCAAAACGACATGCATAATATATGTGGTGTACATAAATGAACAATCACATGCACACACACACACACACACACACACACACACACACACACACACACACACACACACACACACACACACACACACACACACACACACACAGATACATACATGCGACACATATCATATTCCTGAGCAATTTATATAACATACTAAATGGATGTTTGACAGAAATGTGAACAGACAGGTATGCAATGCAAGACTCGTATGAAGAAACAGGTAAAATGCACAGGTACTTTTTTTAACCATTAATATCACAATTAAGTGTTTTTTTTTTTTTAATTACAAATATTTCTTGCACACTTCTTAAACCTAACAATTTCATCGTTTTTTCTCTTTATTCATTGCTTCCTCTTTTTTTTTTTATCATTTTGTTGAATCGTTGTTCTAATTTTTGTTATTTTTATCTTCTTTCTTTCTTTTTTTCACCTTCTCTCTCTCTCATCTCTCTTTTCTTTTCTCTTGCTTTTTTCTCTTGTCTTATCATTCCATTACTTTTGCTAAATTTAATTAAATTGTTAATTAATTTGTCTACTATATGCATGTCTACTGATAGCGACGATTATTTATTCTATTGTCTAGGAACAAAGAAAGTGATTTTTTGATAGTAATAAAGAGAGAGAGAGAGAGAGAGAGAGAAAGAAAGAGAAAGAGTGGATAATTTAAAAAAAAAAACACAGTATACTCTCGGTTGAGTAATATATAAACCAACCAAAATTAAAATTTACAATTACAGATGATTACAAGGGAAGCAAAGAAAAGAGAAGGAAAGGGTAAAAGATCGAAGAAAAAAAAAAGGTGTAATGAGAAATTTTTGATGAAAAATACAGTACCCAACAAAATTGCATTCAATTTCCTTTTTTTTTTTGTTAACTTCTAATGAATGCATTTATAATAATACAAAAATAAAAAGTAAACAATTAATGAAGAAAAAAGGCAGAGAAATGAAAAAAAAGAAATGAAAGAAAATGTTGATATTATTTTTAATTGTTCATAAATTATTGGAATAGTTTATTTAACCATTATATGCACATATATTTATAATTAGCTTAGTATTGTAAGAAAATGATTGCTTTACTTGTTGTTGTTACTAATTAAATTTGAGGAATTTACAAAAATTTTCGGAATTATAATTGTTATAATGAAGAAAGTAAAAAATTGTAGAAAATTCATACAAAAAGAAAACGAAAATTTTGTATTATTTGCTCAAAAACAATTGATGTATAATGTATGGGATGACACAGAGAAATAAAAAAAGATAAATTCTCAATTGAATTATATATGATAATTTTATTTGTGAGATTTGTCCTGAAAGAGAATTATAACAATAATAATAATAATAATAACATTATGAAAAGTAATAATAATGAATTAATTAACTGACCAAAATCAATTGACTAATAAAACTATTATTTAGCAATTTTCAACAATTCTATAATAATTTCTATGAGAAATGATTTATTTGAATTTCAAAGTTTTAAATTATGAATTATGAAAAAATTTTTAATCAATATCTGTTTTTTATTCCATCTAATGAGAAAATAAGACGAGAAATCAATAATTGTTAATATTACACATTATTGTTATTAGTTATTGTTATTGCTTTTGTGTTATTGTTGTTGCAGTTACTATTACAATACTATCGCTGTCATTGTCACAGTTAAGACTATATTACTGCATTAAGAACAAATTATCATGCATTAACCAATATTAATTGTTGCGCAAAATATAAATAAATGAACTAAATTTAATTGAACTCATTAGAAATGCCATGCACATACACTAAGAAAGCGCAAATAGTAGAAGTAAATTGAAGTGAGAAGTGGAACGGACAAATGGTTATGGAGTATGGTAAGATTTATTTGATCGGTGGTTCATCATCGTTAGGTTGAAGTGTATGTCTGTGTCTGTCCCATCTATTTATTAGTCTGTCCGGTCATCGTTCGTTACGCGAAATGAATTTTACTATCTTACTTTTTTTCTCTCAAGGTGAACAAAAATTCAAAGGTCAATCAATCAGTACTTTCATTGAATTGCGCGAAAATTCGGTCATTTATTTTCTTTTCTTTTTTTTTTTTTTTTTCTTCTTTCTTAAAATGGACAGATAATCGGACGATGAAGTTCACCTGTCAAGACATAGAATATATACATTCTTCGCATTTTCATTCTTTCAAATCATTTATGTCTATCTTGATGATAATATTCATCCATCCATCCATCCATCCTTCCTTTTACTCTTCCATCTCTCATACCTCATCCATCAACAATACCTGATTACTAATTGTTCTGAAGGTCATTGCTACCACATATGACCGGACAGTGCTCTCGAGAATTTTGATGAATGGAATGATTACCAAAGGATGGTGAATGAATGAATGAATGAATGTCAAAGCGGTCATTCTTCATTTTACATCATTCCTTCGAATTTATTTACTAATATAATAAAAATCAAATATAATATATAATAATGGTAATAATAATTAATAATAATAATCAATAATTATTTTATAAAATAAATGATAAAATATTACTGATTTAATGATTTATTAGTAAATAATGTAGAAAGTATTACTCTAATAAAAATTCAAATAATAATTATTTTCAATAATTAAATCATAAATTAAGTGCTATTTTTATCCAATTATATTACAGTGCTAATAATTAATTATTTTTTTTACAACGAAATTTTGGAAAAAAAAAAAGTGGAAGAACAAAAAAAGAGAGAAGAACGAAATGAAATGTAAGCAAAACGGTATGCACAGACAATATTTGTTTGGATGACTGTGAAAAAGCAAACATTTTATATGTAATATGTATGTGTGTATGTGTATGTGTATGTGTCCGTGTCTGTGTCTGTGTCTGCCTATGTATGTATGTGTGTGTGTGTGTGTGTGTGTGTGTGTGTGTGTGTGTGTGTGTGTGTGAGAAATATTTAAAGAAATTGCTTTAAAAAAAAGTGCTCATTGTAATATTGTATTAAGTATATATGTATAGGTATATTTTAAAATTAAAAAAAGAGAGAGAGAGAGAGAGACAGGTGAGAAAAGTAAGGGAAGCGATCCAACTAACGAAATAAAGGCAACAGCGATGACGTTAGTTGACAACGATGAAATGTGATGTGACGTGATGTGATGTGATGAATACAAAAGAGTAAAAGGTGAAATTTCGAGAGTTTTGAACAAAATTCATATTCCTTTATGAAATAACCATGTATGTATTATGAATAATGTTTATATAATTAAATTAAATATGAATAAATATAAATAAGTAAATATATATAATTAGATAAATGTAAATAAATGAATAAATAAATAATTATATACGATCAAATAAATATAAATGAATAAATAAATATATATTATAATAGGAAATTTTTCGATAATTATGTAAATTCATAAAATGAAATAAATAAATAAAAGATTAATTAATTAATTAATTAGTTAAATATAAATATATAGATATATGATAGAATATAAATGATGGTATATATATATATATATATAATCTAGAGAGAAAACAGCCAGTTTGTCGCCCACTCTATCCTTTTTCACATTCCTTTCACTCGTTCATCGTCCTCGTTCTTCGATAGATAATTCAAAATCGATAAAACTTTTGATTTGAAAGGGAAAAATGGAAACGAATAAGATCGTTAAAATTTTGTACATAATAAAAAATAATAATGTATATAATAGATATATGTATTAATTAATTTTAATAAAAAGAGTAACTGAATTACATTGCTATAAGAAAAAAAAAATGATAATTATTGTGAAAATAATTAATTATAGGACTCTAATTTTTCCACTATATAATATTATCTAATAAAATTTAATCAAAAAATAATCATTAAAATTAAAAAGAAAAATGAAATAGAAAATTAGTAATAATATCAAACAATTTGCAAATCAATTACTGATTTTTTAAATTATATCTACTAAATGCGTTTTTTTTTTAATTGTCTTAAAAGTTTATTAAATGTTTTAAATTATGGTTGCCCAATGTTTTATTAATGTGCTTTAAAAAATATTTTTTAAATTATTGACTGTTTTAAATTATGAGCAATGTTCCATCATACTTAGTGGTTACAAAATTTTTTTTTTTTTGTAAATATCCTTTAATTGCTAATTTATTAGCTTGAAATAATTACTTATTAGTTTATTATTCAAATTTCAATGATACATTCATTTCAATTCTTACCATATAATTATATCTTTTTCATCTATAAAAGTTCCCACTCATTCATTTAGGCGAAAAGATAAAGTTTGGATCAAATTGGAAAAAAAAAAAATTTGTAAAAAAGAAGATGATGAGAGGAGCATAGAAGTAAGGTGTATTTTAAGGTACAGAAACTTTTTGAAGGTCATTTGTTTACTAAAGATTGGATTGGATTAATTTGTGGTAATTTGAATGAAAATCAATAAAAATATAAATCAAAATGTAAAATCATTGCATTTATTGTCAATAAAAATGTAAAAAAAATTACTATATTTATTATTATTATTATTATAAATGTTGAAATATTATATTTGTTATTGCTAAACACTTACAAAAAATTTAAAACTATTAAAAAAAACATAAAATCATTCTAATTAAAACTCTACCAAATTTATTTCATTCCATTCAATCTGATCAATCTTTTCACCAAAACGTTTACTTTTCTATATTCCAACGTACTACCTCGTATATACCATTTAATCTTTTGGTAAATATTGTCACTTACAATCACCTATATTGTATATATCTACATACCATTTTAATAATGTTTACATTACATTAATAACAATACAAATATATATTCTATAATTGCATACCTTTCATTCCATTCATATATTTATTATTATTAAACATTTAAAAACAAATAACTTGAAAACAAAATTTCTAGATCAATAAAAAATTAGCTTTTATAATCAAATTTTGAGATGATAAAAAAAGATTTGATCATATTGTATGATATTTTCAAAAAAGAAAAAAAAAACAACAACAAGCAAATAAACAATTCAAATTTTAATTTATCCTTTTTTTTTCTATTAAAATAAAAAAAATTTTTTTTTCTTTTTTTTTAAAATCAAGTAAGCAACTAACCCTTCAATATCAAATGCTTTCAATTCAATAATTGCTTCAGCAGCTTTTTCATTAAAATAGATAACTCTTGTTTGATACTGCTCGGTAATATTAGTCAAAAAACCAAGTGATTCATCGTTATTGCATAATTCAGTTATCAAAAAGTGTACCGTGTGCGGGAAATTTGTATTAATCTAAAAATAAAAGTTAAAATTTGTAAAAATTTTTTTCCTAAATTTTTTCAACTACTATATCTATGTCAAAGGAAAATCTTTCTGTTTTAAGATTTTTTATTTCAAGAAGAAATAAAAATGATAAAATTATATGAAAATTTTAAAGCTAAAAATGAGCTATTTATTAGCTTAAATAGTTAAAATTATTTCATTAAAAAATAATGCCATTGTTGTTTCTCAAACAAAACAAAACATAAATACAAGAAAAAAATGGAAATTATTAAAAATATGATTAAGTTTTTTAAGCAAAAAAAAAAAAAATGATTTGATAAAAAGCCAGCAATTTAATATTTTACATTTAAAAAATATTAAACATATGAAAATTTTTTCGACTATTTTAATAAATAATCTTGTTGTTTATACTTTAACTGTTATGATAATAAATGAAATAAGTTAAAAAAATTGAAGTTTAAACTTAAAGGCAATGAAACAAAAAAAAAATTACCAAAATGATTAAATTGTTTTAAAATAGTGAAAATTATAAAAACAAACATTAATATTTTCAATTTCTCCATCAAGTAATCGCTCAATTGACCAGTTGCGATCACCGTAATGCGCATATTCTCGAGATGTATTCTCGGGATGAAATAATTGAATATGCCAACCGCAACGGCTAAGTTTTGTAAGCACTGGACCATAAGCTGCTGATGCACCTGTTGAAAAATATTTTAATAAAATTTTTATGCAATTTGATTTTTTGTCTTTTTTTTGCTATTAAAGAGAATAAATAAAAGAAAAGAGTTGTCCTAATTTCAGTAATATATTAAATTTTGCACTTACATTTATATTTACAAATGATTGAAATTCATTTTAAAACATTCCAGCCTCTCTTTTTAACCTTTTTTCGAAATTAAACAGAAAGAAATTAAATTTTCATTGTTTTTCTTTTTTTGAAATTAAATTTGATTCATTTATCTATTCTTTTTCTTTTTGGATTTTTGTTTGTTTGTTTGTTTTTTGATTTCATAAAACAAAAATGAAACATTATTTCTAGCATTTATCAATTAAAATCAAAACTATTAAAAAACATTCACTTGTTAAATTTTTTTTTTTACTTTCAAAAAGAAAAAAGAAAGAAGAAATGAAAATTTTTAATTCTTTTATAATTTTCTCTCTATTTTTTTTTTAAAAAAATTTTATCTACATTTTTTTATTTTTTATATTTTTTTTCTCTATTTTATAATGAATGATAAACGAAATTATTGAAAATTTTTAAAATATCATTTTAATTTTTTTTAAAAAAAAAAAAAAAAACAAAATTTACCAGAGATAAGCGCAATTATACCAGGATCGTAATCACTGTGAAAACGATGTAATTTTTTACAAATAGCCCAGGACGATTCATTTGATTCGATGTGATTTATGTCCACATTCTAATAATTAATATTATTTTTTCATTTTTTCTTTTTTTAATAATCAAATATTTTATTCAAATCATTACAAAATTTATATATATTTATGACAAAAGCTTTCCAAAAAAAAAAAAAGAATGTTTTTTCAAAATTTTATATTATTCATATAGAATTTACTATTACTTATAATTTTCTATATTCTACATTTATGCTAAATTATATGTAAAATCACTTACGTTTATAGATTTTATATTTAAACTGTTAAAAATTGTATTAATTTTATTTTAACTTTTTCTTCATTCTAATAATTTTTTCATTGCTTTTATTTCGTTGTTCTTTTTTTTTCCATTAAATTTGCCTATTTAAAAAGATATTTTTCATATAAATTTATTGTTTTTTAAAAAAATTTTTGATATTTTACATCTATATAAAAAATAAAATTATTTATATTACTTATTCTAAAGTATGATAAAAAATATTTGAAATGATAAGGAAAATGAATACATCAAACTAATATACTATTAAACTTACTAACGATTTTTCTTTTTTTTTTTTTTAATTAATATTTGCATAATGACAAAATTATTACATTGGACAAATTAAGATAAACAAAATTTATCAATTTTTACAGTGGTAAAAACTGAAATATTTATTTTAAATTTATTTTTTAAATTAATTACAACTAAAAGTTATTTTTTTTATTATCAAAAGAATTATAGTGTATTAGACTAAAACAAAATTTAATAAAATAATTATCAATTATCAATTGATGTAATAATTAAATCATATAAATTCCAATGTAATATATCATTTCTTAACTGATAACAAAAATATCACAGATAATCCTACCTATGATAATAATGTTAGTGTTTCACTTTTCTTCTTACTTATTGGAAAGAAATTAAATTAAATTTGTCTAAATATATAAAATTACTATCATAATTTAATTAATTAAAGGGTAAAAAAAATAACTTTCCATTCAAGAAGAAAATGAATTATATTTATATAATTGGATTTTAAAAAATTAATTCAGAAATTAATTTATAAATTTCGGAAATATAAACCGTTGATTTTGCCAATTCACGAGTTATAACAGGTGGCGTAAAACGAGCATCACAATAAACCAGAAAAGCACATTCACGTGGATAATATTCATCCAAATTTTCTACAACTGTAGAACGAATCTAAAACAAATATATTATAAAGTGGAAATTTAGAAAAAATTAAATTAAATTAAAAATTTGACAATTTGTTTAAAAATTACAAAACTAATATGATTATTATTATTATTATTATTATTATTATTATTATTATTATTATTATTATTAAAGAAAGGAAGCTTGAAGATATGAATTATTTTAGATATTAGCTGGAAATATTATTTCATATTCTAAATGATAGTAAAAAAAACACTTTTTTCCTTTCCTTTTGAAAATATTTAATACTTGTAAAAATTTATGATTCATAATTGTTTAGAAATATTATCGTAAAAAAGGAGTGTTCGAATTTATTAATTAAATAGCATAAGCTGATGATATCATTGTGTAATATGAAAAATAATCAAGCACTGATAACAAATAGTTTAAACATAAATGAATTTAAATTGGTTTTCATATATATATAAACTTAAATTAGTATTGTGTAATTGAATATAGATGAACTTAAATTGGTTAACACATAACTGAATGTTATCAACTTAAGTTGGCTTATAAATAACTAAATATATGTAAATTTAAATTCGCTTATAAATAATTCAATAAATGTGAATTGAAGTTGAGGATCAAAAATCGATATTTCATCAGTTAGATTAAAAAACTATTCCAAAAAATGAAATTCTCAATTGTATGTTGCAACAAAGTAATGTATAATAATAGCATAAGTGAATTAATTATATAAATTAGTTCGAGAAGTAAAGTAAAACTTTTGTTAAATTATTAAATTTACTCTATTTTACTGTAAGGAAATATTTTTTTAAATATAAAAATGTTTTAATGCGTGAATAATAAATTTATAATAAAAAAAAAAAAAATTTGCAAAATTAGAATGGAAAATTGAAAAAAATTTATGTTTCTGTTTTTTTTTTTTTTTTAAATTTATGTATTTTCTTTTTTTTTAATTTATGTATAAACAAATATTGTGTGTATTGAATGATGGAATTTAAAATTTTTGTCAAATTTTATAAATGACTAACTTTACTGATAAATAAGCTAATTTTATCAAGTGGTACTTGAACTGATATCCAATCCCATATGATAGCAATAACTTTTTCTTGTAATTCATATGTTGCTTTGTCCACTGTTTGTAGATGCTAAAATTTGCTAACATTCGTCGAATAATTTTGCTTATTTCTTTTTGATTTCAATTTGTTTGAGAAAAAATCTAAATTTCAAAAATTTAATAAATATAGAATTAATTTTTAATAAATGCATAATTCAATTCTTTCATTTATTCATTAAAAAAATTGTAATAACAAACACAAAAAAGGAAAAAAAAATTTCTTCTATGTTAAATAAATTGATTAAAATATTTAAATGAAATTTTAATATGATTGAGAAAAAAAATGGAAATTATATTTATAATTTCAAATTCTTTCTTTTTTTTTTTTTTTGCTAATTTCAACAATAAACTTACTTTAGCACTATTTTTTTCCATAATTAAAATCTCAATCGATATAGATACCCCCGCAATGAACCGACCGATTCTTGCAAATGTGAGAAATTTTTGTGAATGATTGGCTTTTATAGTAGAGGAAATTTGCATATAATTCCTTGGTAATATGCAAATTTTCATCAAAAAATTATTGATTTCACTTGTTTAGTGAGAGAGAAAACAATAAAAATGTTTGCTGGAAAGTTTCATTCGCTAATTAAGAAAATAATAAATAAAATTAATACTAAATACAATATTTACCTCTTACCTCCCTTTTGTCCTTTGTTCATTTATTTTTTTCGCTAAATATGAAATTAAAGAAAAAAAAAGACTCAATCACACTAAGAATAAAAAAAAAAAAACTAAAATTGATATGGTGATGTGAATATTCATTTCTCAAATTACCTCAAATTATATTGCCAAGAAGATTGGTGCCAAGAAGTTTAAAATATTAATAGTGTCGGAGATATAAATGTAAGTTTATTATTTCATGAATAATTTTTGAAACAAAGCATAGTTTATACAAAATATTAATATGAAAGGCATTAACACTTACAAAAAAAAAAAAAAAAAAAAAAAAAACAAAAATGTAACAATAAGAAACATTCATTATCTTTTCTTCCGTTTTTTTTTGGAAAGTTTGAAGAATAGAAATAACTGAAATTGCTAATTTCAATTATTAGATGCTGTCAAAGTTTTCTACGATACTTTCAATAGTTATTTATGACATAACTTGTTAATAAAAATGATAAGATTTCAAAAAAAAAAAAAGGAAGAAATATTCATCAAACTTTCACTTATATCTTACATATGATGATAAAACATATGACGTAAAATATGATCCATCACTTTGAGAATTCATTAAATTTCTGCAAAAAAAAACTTCGCAGCATCTTAAATATTATGTATCATAAAAAAAAAAGAGAAATTAAAAAAAAACAGTACTAATAAACAACGAATAAATAAATGAAGATCAGAGATCAGAGATTTAAAAACAATTCCAGAAATAGTAAAAAGGAAATCTTTTAATTTCAAAATATTCAAGTATCACAGGAAATTTCCAAAACAAAATCACTTTTTCTGCATGAATCATGCTTCGATATCTGAAATGAATTGTGCAATTATTCATAACACATATAAAAAAATTAAATCTAAAATTAGATTACAATAAACAAATGGCAAAAAAAAAAATCAGATATATTCATCATTGAAGTACATATTTCCTAAGTTTGAGATTTTATTATTTTAGAGAACAAAAGAAATATTTCGGAGAAAATATACAATTGAGGGTAATGATTGTAAAGTTACGAAGGATGAGTCACATTCATGGCATCTAGTAAAAGTTAAATAAAATAAACACTTATATTTGAGATAAAAATTAAATGATCGGAACCTTTTTGTAGAGCGCATGGAAAATGATAATATTTGCCGCGATTTTCAATTGCTGCACCTTCTTTAGAGCATACAGCACAGTGCTATAGAAATTTTATTATTTTATTACCATCATAAAAGGGAAAAGAACAAAGACATAAACAGACATAAAGTAAAAGGTAGTATAGTTTATTTTCTCCCTTTAATTTACTTCATTACAAATCTAAAAATTTACTGGAGCTAATTTAAACTGAACTTTAAAAAAAAAAAACGAAAATTAAAATTTATGTTGGCACATAATTATAACTATTTGATTATACTTAATTAACGTCATTTCTTTTGACCAATATTTACTAGAGAACTGTTCTTCAAAAAGTGAATAAATTTTAAAACCTGTGCCCAAAAAGCACCAATTTTTGTTTCCAGTCCATCAAGTTGATTACCGACCAGATATATACCAGGTGCAGTTAGAGCACATGGACCATGAAGCCAAATATCGCAATATAATTCAGTCTAAAGTGATTTTAACAAAAAAGTGATTTACGATTAAAATGAATATTTCCTCTTCATTTATAGAATGTCATGCTTTTTCCATTCAGTACCTATATTAGGGTATCCCTTAAGTATGATGTACTGATTTAATATACGTCATTGTTCATCAAGTGATAAACAAGAAAAATATTTGTCACAACAAAACCCGCAACTACTTCATTATAAGTATAGAACCAAAGCTATAAGGAAGGGAGAATTTTACAGAAAAAAAAGAAAACCGACAAAATTTCATATATATTTTTTAGAAACTTGAATTTTTTAGCAATAACCAACTTGATCATTTATTTTTTGTGGTTTCTTAGCCAAATGTGTAGGCCAATAATTTCCATTTAATCGTATAAAGTATGGACCGAATAGATCACCCAAGACAGAGCGTAAAGTACGTTGTTGACAAAGAGCACATTTCCATCGAGTTACTATTTTTAGTTCGTTACATTCAACCTAATAAAGTTAAAAATATTAAAAATAGACAGTAAAAAACAAAATGAAAAGTGGAATCTAAAATGAAACTCAAAAAATATAGTCCAACCAGCAAATAAACGAAAATAAATAGCTGAATGGGTATTACAAAAAGTCTTCTAGATCATCTGGCATGATTAACCAGTAAATATCAAGTAATTTTCTTACTTGATTTAAACGATTTAACAATGCTTCTTGACTTCTCTTCAATAAAACATCATGTTTTTCGCCATTCTTCACCACCATTTGTTCTTCTATAAAACAACAAACATTTAGGAAATTATTTTGGAATTCTCGAATTAACTATTCCTAAAAACATCCCGAAATAATCACCGATAAAATAAATGTAATAATTATTGTCAAAGAAAAACAAAAAAAAAGAAAAACCTATATTATATTAAGCAGTTCTGTTAAATATAATTAGCAAATGTTTCTTACTATCAATTAATATCTGATGCAAAGAAAGACTTAGATTAACTTCAGAGAAGCTTTAGTAAAAGTTGCTAAAAGCTTAGCACCAATAAATCGAAAGCAAATAATCGAGAATAAATGATTCCGGTATGATTATATTGATAGCATAATCATAACTTGTTAATACATATAATATCATATAGAACATTCGAATCATTTTAGCTAATAATTATTGATAGTTCCAAATGAACAAATCGATTAAACAGGAATGATTTAACAAGATATTCAAAAAATGAGGAAATGATACGAATGCTTACTTTTAGTCAGTCTTAGACATGGCATACCATCATCATTTGATCGTTGTGTTTTCATTTTAAATTTTGCATTTAATCGATTTTTGACGAGTTCATCTTCGCTAGCTATTTCTTTTACAGTATGATTTTTCTTCCGTTTCATTTTCTTTCTCTTCTTAGCTTTACCATCATTTGCTACATTAGCTGGCATCTTCCGCATCTGTAATAAAAAAAAAAAGAAGATTATGAAAACTACAAAAAACTTTCATTTAAGAAATTTTTACATGATACTATACAACTTTCATTTAAAAAGTTCGTAATGCTGTTATATTATTTTGAAAATATAAGTTAAAAAAGATATCTTACAGCGGCATAAGATAATTTTATAAGTATCATGTGAAAGTTTCAAGCGTAAGTTCAACAAGTAACTGTTAGATTTCGAGTTATAAACAGTTAAGCTATTTTGCAATGCTCATAGGATTCTATAATAACTCTCTATAAGAAAATCTGAAATTCATTTTGAATGAAGTGAATGTTCTAAAACTGTAATCAGAACTGACTAGTATTCTTACGAGATTAATATTCTAGATGAATCAATAACAGATCAGCCTAAAAATTTTGAACATCTACAAATGAAATATTCAAATAAAACGTGACACGGTGCTAAATACAACTAGATACATTATATCAAATGAAACACAAATATTGATAAATTTTATTGCAAAATTAACACAATAAATTGCATACATCCATGAGATGTAATTTTTAGATGTAAACAGGAATTATGGGACAAAAAGTGCTAATTTACATTTTGTAGCAAGCGCAAAGTATTTAAACGAATATTTAATCCGTAAAATCAGTAAATAACAGACTTCACAAACAATACCATCAAATATAAAACTTGTGTAAAGTTTTGACTTGTTTAGCACTTATTATTTGTTGATTAAAAAAATATGCCAGCAAATGTTAATGCAAGAAGTTGGAAGCAAAGATTAAGATGATTGATATTAATTATACTGTTAACTAAATGACATTAAGATAACAATACATAATATATAGGAATACCGATGTAACATGACAACAACAGTTCCTCTAGTTTAAAAATTATATTTTATTTGCAGCATAATTAATATCAATTAAAGTCATTAAAAATCAAGAAAAGATTATGCAGTTGTTTTTATTTGCATTCCAATTCATCAATGCTTTCAATACTGAAATCGGATAAACTTTCATCACCTGCCGTCATTTTTCGTACAATCTGAAAAAAAAAAAAACAAACTTAAAGTATGAAGAATGAAGTTAGAATGAATAACTCTTTTTTTTTTTTGGAGATTTCGAAATGCAAAAAAAGGAAAGACAAATAATTGCTTCCGATAATTTCATATTCAAAAAGATACTACAGTTTATTCAAATATTTCACAATGAGACATAACAGCAGTGCAAACAGATAGCGCTAAAGGAATCGTTTATTTAGATATATTGCAAATAAATAATGTGCTCCGTGCTATTAAATGAAAAATTCCTCTAATATGCCGCTATATTAGCTGTATATTGAAAACTCAAATTTTCAATTACGCGAGTGGTCGAAATCAAAAATAATTGGAATTTTGGTAAATTAATTACTTTAAAGGTTCAAAATACATTTCGAAATGAACATGAGATAAAACAGAACTTACAAAAAATAAGCTAAATAAGTAAATTTTCTAAACACAAACTTCTCGCAGTCTAATGCAAGTATCGGCTATATTAGCTATATCTTCGGAACTCAATTTTTCAATTATATGAATGATAATTTCATCCAGAAGTGACAGCAATCCTTTGGATTCATCCTGTATGATATCGTTTCCACTTTCGCTTTGAAGTGCTGACATCTATAAAGGAGTAAAATTGAAATGGTGAACAAATAACCCACAATTTTCTTTCATTTTCATCAAAAGATTTAGGACCAATGTTTGTCTGGTGAGAATTTTCAGAAATCTACAGATTTGCAAATAAAATTATATTTTGTGAAAATTTTTACATAAATTGCACCAAGAAACACTTCGGATACTAAAATAGTTAAATGTAAATAAATTAAACAATTTGCAAATGTGCTAGTAGATCTAGAAATGTAATTGTAAGAAAATCAGAGCTTTTTTTGCTTATTAGATATTTTGTGAAAATTACACATAAAAAAAAAAACAGAAAATCACTTTTTTTTGGAGTTTTTTTCTTACCTACAGAGTTTAGGTATATTTTCGGTGAACTGAAAGTTTTGAGTGATCTTACTAATAAACTAATGCTTTCATTACTCACACTTTCGTTGTTAAACAATCTTGTACAATCTTGGAACATCAAAATTCGATGTTCAGACGTCCTTGTCAGCCTGATATCAATGTGAATTAAATAAAACCGCCGCTTCTGAGAGTTTCTGAAAGGGATATGTTCATCAGGACCGAATTTTCTAACTCATATCTGCTTATATTCATTATTTCAAGTGTGAAAACTTGGTATAAACTGAAGATAATATAGAGACGGTCATCTGATTTAAGAATAGACTGAGATGGTTTTCAAAATAAATTTTCATCTGATAATGCATCTCGAAAATTAACAAACATCTTTGAATCTACCTCTCTGGATCTTCTGTTCTAGAGTTCATATATTTATTAGATCTTCCATTCTGGATTTCACATAATTACATTGCTGAGTCGATCTGATTTGAGTGAGTTCATCAAGTTCACACACAAAGCCATCGGTGATTTCTATGCTACTGGAGAAACAAATTTTACGAAATCACAACGTTCATTGTCCAAAAAAGAGCAGTATAGAAAAGATGTTGTGAAATTTCTATAACGGTCATTAAAACTGATCGAATTCCGAATTGAAGTTGATTTACGCCCTTCATCCGATCAAAAGGGCAAGGTTACGTGAAGTATGAGTTAGATGTGAAAATCAACTTGATAATCATTTTATGATGATAATGAACCGGATGACAAGGGTGATATTGGTATCCAACAGTATGTGATGGAAGAGATAAAGAATTGTTGAATAATGCCATATTCTATTTGACTATCAGTATTTGTAGTATCACTGATTCTATTGAGTATCAACAAATTCTACGAACTGCTGAGAAAATCCAATATGGAAAAGTGACAATTTAGCACTGCAAGTGCCAGAATGGAGAAAAGCAGCAATATATTATACTATCAAGAATAAAAACACAATTGCCTACTTTATAATTTCAAAACTTGCTTATTACTACAGATCAGAAACTAGTTTATTAAGATAATAAATAATAAATTCCTTTAATTATTTTCATGATTACATACTTTTTTTTTTAACTTGAAAATCTTTCCATATCTAATGCGAAATTTCTAACTTAAGTTTGCCTTTTTTGTATACTTAAAATTGATATATTAGTCTTACGAAAAAACACATACACTACCAAAAAGCTTTCGAAACTATTAATAAAAGCTATCCCATATGATTTTATCATATTCTGTAAAATCCTTCAACAACCTCTCATCCACCCTTATATGATAACAAAATATACATAAGAAGCTAATCAAATGAGATTCACTATTTCATGCTTCATTTCATGCAACATGTCCTGAAATGAAATGGACTGTGGAATAGCAAAGGAAAAAAATGAGTGTAAGATGAAGATTTTCATACCGCTGCACCAACTACTATCATTGCTACCTAACACTACGGCATGGTCTGAAAGGCAGCAAACCAAAAATCTTGAAAAATTAACCGTGAAATTTCCGATCTCGATATGTGACAACGATTGCAATAATAATGATGGGTGTGGTTTCTGTCAGTAAAAAGTGGTGCGTCGATTTGCGTGTGTGGCGTGTACTTACGTTACGTGTACGTGTGTATTTGTGTGTACCGTTCTTTGGCATAATCGAATTTGGTAATGAAAATATGAATTTTCATTTTCTTTTCGTCTGAAAATGCTGCTGCAGCTGTAGGAAGATTTACTGATGAAGAATTTTCAAAAAAAGAAATCAATGAATAATGCTGTCAGTAAGTATATGAGAGTAATTAACATAAGGCAGTTCATACAAAAGATTAAAATAATGAAATAACAATGAATTATTAAGCATGAATCATAGAATAAAGTAAAGAAAAAAAGAAACTGAAAGACTTGAAAGAAACCCAATATAAATTATTTGCTAATTTTGCGCACTTTCATTACTGAAATTTCAAGACAAAATCAAACAAACAACATATTTATGCAATTCCGTTTCTGTAAGTAAGTATTTTAAAATAAATAACAAAAAGTATTTCATGAAAAAATTTTCAAATACGTTATTAAGGGATGAAGAAACTTTTTTTGACGAAATTTGAAGAAATTAATAATTTATTATTCATATTTTCATTTGTATAGTTTTTGAAACATAAAATAATAAAATTCATTAAAATTTTTTTATGTTTAGTAAATGTACGAAATGGTTTTCTTTTTTTTTTAATAAAAGAGTTTCATTAGACATATAATATTATTATCAGGAATAAACCAATGGAGGAAGTGATAATAAATTGGAGAGATAAAATAAAAAGAAATCATAGAGGTAATGATATCAGACGAGGGTAAAAGTAATTGATAATTATAATATGGATGAAAAGAAATCGTTCATAATTATTAATATCAATTATGTTCATAAGCATTTCTAGACAAATTTATCTTTCTAATTTTATAAATTCTTTAAAGATTATTAATAACTATCATAATTATTATAATTTCATTATTCGATATGCTAATGAATATATATTTTAGAATATATTGTGTCTTTTTTCTTTGAATTGCTAAATGTATGCATCATAACAACAACAATCACAAAATATTCAATGATAATTAATAAAGCAAAACTAAATTTGATGAAATGAAGGAAGAAAATGAAGTTGGCAGAAAATAATAGTAATAAAAGTAGCAGGAATAATAATAATTATTATTATAATCATAATAATAATAATAATAAAATAATTTATTAGAATTAAATTTTGGAAAACGAAAAAATCTCATGTGCTAATTTTATTAATTATTCGAAGTAATTTCTTCCTTTCTTTTTCTTCTCTGTTAAGCATTTTTTTTAAAAAAGATCAGAAGAATAAAATATGTAAATTATTCATTTATTAATAATCATTAATTCAGGAAACTATGAACAGTTACTGTCACTGTGAATAATATCAATTATCGCGTAATGATATCATTGTTATTGTTATGATTACTGATGCTATTATTATCATAATTATTGCTATTATTATTGATGTTATTACTATTGTCACTAATAATGATATTACTACCATTATAATTATTCTTGTTACTGATATTATTATCATTACCATCACTGTTATTACTATTGCTATTATTATTATTGTTATTCCTACTAGTACTATTATTACCATTATTATTATTATTATTATTATTACAATTATTTTTACCCATTTTATTAATGGAATTTTCATTTCCATTTGCTATAACAGCTTCAATTGTCTCATCGATTGTGTTCAATCTCATGAACTGATTAGTGTTATCATTTGATGATATTTCAGTCATTTCTGATAATGATCCTTCCTTTCCAGCTTCTAATGCGATATTATCAGCGGATGAATTTATCAATGATAAGGCGAACTGTTCTTGTTTGCTAAAATATTTGTTGTAGAATTAAATATATACACATATACAATTTATGAAAGGATTAGATAATTAATTAATAATTAATTAAATTAGAATTATTTCAAATTTGAAAATAAGAAGTAAATGATGAATTTTGCGTAAATTAAAGTAACAAACCAATTACTAAAAGAAGAAGAAGTAACTGGAAAAGTTGATAATGCTTCATCTGCTATTGCTACTTCTGATATCATTTTCATCGTATTACAATCAGTGATAGTAGAAGAGCTACTAGTAGCATTATCACTGACAATTTCTGATAATTTTGATGTAACTTTGAGGTGCTGAAATTCAAAAAAGTTTAAACTTAAAATTTTAGAACCATTCTTTTTCTGAAATAAAACTAGAATTTTAAAAAAGATGTACAAAAAATTAAAAATAATATTGCTAAATAATTATTAGATTATTACAATATTAAAATTTTCTTCTTTTTTTTCGAAAAAAAAAACAAATGAGAGAAAAACATAGACATTTAATTCTGATAAAATTTTTTCGTCTAATTTTAAATAAAAGTCTTTTTTTCAAAAAAAAAAAAAGTGTTTACTTTTACTTTCTATTTAAGCTTAATTGTTCAAAAAAAAAAAAGCTTATTAATCAAAAAATTGCTCAAAATCAATAAATAAATAAACGAAAAAAAAAAGAAAAAGCTTATTTCAACAAACTTGTAAATTTCTAGGACGTTTATTACGTGATCCATTTTCTAAACGTGATTCGTTCACTTCCTTATATTTCATTTTATCAATACAACCATCTTTGAGATCATCATCTTGTAAGCCATGACAGGTACTCAAATGTCGCTTCATATTGCCCTATTAATAAAAAAAAAAAGACAAATCAATAATTTATTTCAGATCAAAATTGCAACATTTATCGTTTCTTTGTTACTCATTGCTGTTTATTAAATTATAAAAAGTAAGCAAACAAATAATTATTATTGAAAATATTAAATTTAATATAACAATTCTCATTAAAATAATAAATATATCCAAAAAACTTTACATAACTTTTAAATATTCATAAATTCACAAATAAATATTAAAATGTTAAGCAATTGATATTAGATAGATATATGTATAAAAATCAAAACGCATCTCTATATTAATACATTTAGTTTAAAAATTAATTTTTTTAAATTTAAAAAAAAATTTTTTTTTATTCGTCTGTTATATAATTCAATATATTTATCTAAAAAAAAGAGAGAGAGAAAAAGACTGGAATGCTTAACATTTATGATAAATTAATGTACTAATTTAATTTAATCCAAATACTTTTTATAATTTTCATTAATCTATCTCTCTCTACTTTCTCATTTCTCATATTTTTTAAATTATTCTAGTCACAGTTTGTTTATTTATTACTTTATATTTTTACTTTTACTTACTATTATCTTTCCTTTTTCCTTTCAATATTATCATTTTGTTATTATAAATAAATAAATAAACAAACAAACCTTGTAAATGGTAGCAAAATCACATAATGGACATCGAAATGGATCATCATTACTACGATCTCTTTTCGGATTTGATAATTTAGTTTTAATTATTGAATTCTGTTCCAATAATACATCACTACAATTACTCAACCATTGTGCTTTTTCTGCAGTCATTGATGTTTCTAAGACATTTGGTTGATAATTATCCGAAAATATCATCAAATCATTGCATCCATTATTAAATTGATTTGTATCAGATGTGAATTGTTTTAAGATTGTATCTAAAAAGAAAACAAAAAAGAAATATAAACATTAATACTTCGTTTTCTCTTGTTAAAAGAGCTATTTAGAATAATTTTTTAATAAAAAAAAAAATAAATTATTTCCGTTATATTTTATTATTTTTTTGTTTTTAAATCTTTAATTAAAAATAAATTGCAAAAAAAAAAATTATGAAATAAATTTAAAAGTAATTTTACAGAGACACCAAAAAAAAAAAAAAAAATACCTTTTCTTTTCAGTTTATTACCATTACGTGTTGATCTCATACACTGATTGACGTGACGTCTAATATTACCCTATAAAATAACATTCGATTTATATTATTAATTATTACTATTATTATCATTGTTATTATTATTATTATTAATTATTACTATTATTATCATTATTATTATTATTATTTTCATTATTATTATTAATTATCATAAATCATATCATTATGTAATTTTATATATTAATTAGTGAAAGTTAAATGGCACAATTTGAATAATTTAGGGCAAATAATAAACAAATATATATATCGAAAATTTTAAAAAAATGAAAACATATCTTAGATTTTATTTATTCATTCATTAGCATAGTATTACTATGTTATATCATTGAAATTTTCTTAAATAAAAATTAAATAAAATGAAACAGAATTCATAATTGAAAAATAAAATAAATTTTACATCAACCCATAGCCATAATTAATACTGTTAAATTATCACATAAAAAAAAAAGGAACAAAATGATAAAATTTCAATTATGGTTAAAAATTTTATTAGAATTTAATAGATTTGCAATCATTGTAATATGGAGCTAGAAAATAATATATAAATTGAATAAAAAGTTAAATTACTATTTAATTTTAGTATACTACTAAATTTAATATTAATATTTTGATGCAATATTGTTTTATATTTTTTTTCGTACAAAAAAAAATTTATTTACCAATCATTTATCATTAAAATGCACTTTAATACTAAAAAAAAAAAAGCAAAATAAACAAATGCTTACTTTATAATGACTGATAAAACGATCACAGTACGGGCAAACTGGGTCAATGCCATTCGAATTTGTAATATTTCCTGGTTCACATAATCCTATATTTCCAATCGAACCACCCATTTGGTCTAAATAATTTCGACCTGTAATTGTTTAATAAAAACCCATCCTCAATTTAATTTTAGGATTTAATATTTAATGCTAACATATGAATAATAATTCAATTAAATCTAAATGCTTTTGCTAAAGAATGATGATGGATTTTGTACTTTATCGATAATGATTTAAAAAGTAATTAAAACTTAAACAGATTAATTAAATAGAAAAAAAAATTTTTTTTTCCTTTTTCTTTTGCTAAGAATTAAATGTTTTTTGTTTGAAATAGCAATTTAAATGACATTTTGTTAAATATGTAATAATATTAATAAATAAGAAAATGTGTAAATTCCATTTTATTCAAAAATTATAACAAATCTCACAGAAAGAGAACTTTAATTATAAAAATAAAAAATAAAAAATGAAAATGTTGAAGTTTTGTAACAAAAAAAAAAAGAAATGGAACAGGTCCAACATCCTATCAATCTTATTAATATATCAATATGATATTAAAATGAAAAAAATTAATTTAAACTTTCTGCAAAATCAATAAAATATATGTAACACTCTGATAAAGTGCATTATTTTAGTGCTAAGAATGAAAAAAAACACCGCAAAAATTCTACTAAATATTGTATGTAACTTACAAATATATGTTAAATCGTTTGATAAATTTAAGAAAAAAAAAAAGAAAAGAAAATGATGGAAAAATAGTTAGTTTAAAAAGTAAAATTAGAATGAAATAAATTCTATTCATTTTTTGATAAAATAATTTCTTCGTTATAATAATAATAATAATAATAATAATAATAATAATAATAATAATAATAATAATAATAATAATAATAATAATAATAATAATAATAATAATAATAATAATAATAATAAATAATAATAATAATAATAATAATAATAATAATAATAAATATTAATAATAAAAATAATGGTGATAATAATAATCATGACTAATAATAATGGTGGCAAAATTATATCAATTATTTTTTTTTTGTCATCAAATATTTAAAAGTTTTATTTGTTTGTTTGTTTTTTTCTCATTTGAAATTTGTTTAGTAGTTCTTCTTTTTCTTTACCGATAATTTCTCGACATTTTTCATTACGTCCAATATGCCCAGTAAGTGATCTACGTGATGAGTAAACAGCGTGACACGCCATACACGTTATTTGCTTCTTGTCACATTTGTTGACAACTGTTTCACCAAAACCTGTCAAAAATTTCCTTTCCTTTTTGGCCTCTTTTTTTTTCTTTCTTTCTTTCTTCCTATCTTCCTATATAATTATTTTATAATTAACTTTTATTAGTTTAATAATTTTTTAATTTCTGCTCTTTTTTTAAAAAATAAAAAATAAAGTGATAATAATAATATTGTTGTAAGCAATATATTATTTTAAAATCTTTTAGATTTTAAAATTATTTTCTTTCATACATATTAATACTTTAACTTATTATTATAATAGAAGAATTTTTCTTGCCTTTTTTAATTAATAAATATTAAAAAGTAATGTCTCTTTAATAAACGTAAATGTTATAGCTTAACATTGATTTTACTTCTATGAATTTTTACTTATATGAATTAATTTACTTACGCGAAAGTAATATTTAATTATTTGCAAATTAGCTAGAACATATATGCAAATCTGCATTTATTATAAAGAAAAAATTTTCTTAAATTATTATATTATTTCTTTAAAAATCCTTCAATTCCAGAAATGAGAATTTTATTATATTTAATTATTATATTATTTTTCGATTTTATGTCATTTAATTATTTAATTATCTCTCTAGAAATGTAATTATTATATTATTTCTCTAAATGACCTAAATTTCAGAAATGAGTGGAAATTTAATTATTATACTATTTCTATACAAATATGCATTTCAATTATTAAAAATTTAATTTAATTACTATATTATTTCTCTAAAGGACCTGTTCCAGAAATGAGTAGGACAAAAAAAAAAATTCTTATTTTTTAGCAATTAACCTGTAGCATGATTCATCATTTTTTGATTGGAGTCAGAAAATCGTAATTGTGTTATTTGACTCAAATTTTCGGTACATTTTTCTTGTTGACCATAATTTCTACTTTCATTAATATTCGGCAGCACAACTGCATGCTGCTGCATCGATTGTTGTTGTTGTTGTTGTTGTTGTTGTTGTTGTAATTGTAATTGTTGTTGTTGTTGTTGTTGTTGTTGTTGTTGTTGTTGTAATTGTTGTTGTTGTTGTTGTTGTTGCAGTTCTAATCGATTATCATTGATTAATTCATGACAATTTGTTGTATAATTACTATCAATTCGGTTTGTATTACATGTTTGATATCTGAAAAAAAAAGATACAAACAAAAATAAATTAAAATTATAAATTAAACTGTAATTTTTTTCCTCTATTTTATAGATATAAAATTTAAAAAAAAAAAATTTTTTTAATTATTATTAAAAATTGATGATTAATTGTAAACATTTATTTTTGAAAATATCTGAATTTATAATGATTATTTTACCTAATATTATTTGAGCAACCAGGTATTGTTGTGTGTATCGGATAACCAAAATTATGATTATTTATGCTCATTGGTACCTGTATTTTTAAAAAAAAAAAATGAGAGAAAAAAGAATAATTATTTTTTTTTCCTTAAAAAAATTTTTCATTGCTAAAATTGTTGAAATTAATTCATTTAGTATAAATTTGGTTGATAAAATTGTTAAAAAATTAAATCAATTAGTAAAAATTTTACTGTCAAATTAATTAAATATTTATTCATTTGATTTAAAAAATTTTCCATTGCATATACATATATATATATTTTATTTTGTATATAAAAAAGTGTTTTGTTATGAATGTTTTTTTTATTAATATTAAAACTAAAATTGAAGTCAAGAAAAAAAAATTAATTAATAATATTTAATAACAGTTATATTTGTGTGAAAAATATATAATTTAGTTTCCTTTTTCCTTTCATTAACTTTCTCATTAAATAATTAATTAATTATTTTTCTTTTCTTTTATTAACTTCAATATTAAAATGTTCTTTTTTTTTCCTTTACAAGCATACCTTTTTGTTTTCAACAATTTTATCAAATAATTTATAAAATGAAAAGTATTTATAACACTGATATGCTGTATAAATGAAAGTATAAGTTATGATTTAAAAAAAAATATATATATATCTAAAAAATTAATAATTACTTGATTACTAGTAAAATCATTTGTACTATTTGAAAATCGTGTTTGTTCATCCCAAACATTCCATGATAATGTACTATCAGCCGAAAGCATTGCATATGTTGATGAGAATAATTCTGTTGTATCTCAAAATAAATTATATATAAAAATTTTAAAAATAAAAAAATAATTGCAAAAAAACTTAATTATACAAAATTTTTTTACGAAAATAAAAAATAATATTAAATGAAAAACAATTGTACTTCATAATAGAATTTAAAAAAAAAAAAGAAAATGAAGCCGAATTTAATAACTTAAACAATTGATTAATTAAATTAATAAAATCAAAACTTCAGTTAAAATTATTTGAAAGAAAAAAACAATAATTCTTTATTTGAAATTAATTTCAACATTTAAAGATTTTAATTGTTATCGCAAAAAAATTTTCAAAAAAAAAAAAAGGCAAATTATTTGACAAAGTAAAAATAAAAGGATTAAAAAAAAAAGAAAAATATTTGCGATAAAATTTTACTAATTTTTTCATCAATTAATACATTCAGCTGCGTACCAATAAATCCTTACTTTTCTAATTGTTTTTTTTTTTTTTAAATTTAATCATTTTCCAAAAGAGAAAAAAGTTGGAAAATTTTCGGAACGAGTAATTAGCTATAAAAATTCGAATGCAATTAATGAATTTAAATTCTACGCAAAAAAATGCACTTTAGAGCAAATCCCAATATCAGTTGAGAACAGTTTGTTTACTTATGTAGGTTACATTAATTTTAATTATTTCATTGGCAAATGAAATTTTAGTTTTTAATTAGGCCAGAAAATAATCGAAATGAAGTGAAGCACAGATATGTCAAATAAATAATAATTTAATATTTTAGCAATATTTTATAATTTAAATTTAAAAAAAAAAAAAAGCAAAATATAGAGTAAAAATTATTGCGTTTATTTATTTCATTAACAAAAAAATATAAAACAAAATTAATGCTTATTGTAAGCAGCTTATTCGTTTACTTATTCATTATTTTTATTTCTCATCAGACATTTCAAAAATAATATTAATAATTAATATCAAATTTCCTAGCAGTATTCAATATTTATTCTATTATTTAATGCAATAATAATTGTAGAATTATTCATCATTATAAAATATTCATAGTAATTAAATTCAATAAACCATTCAAATCGTTATTTGTGTCTAAAATTTCCAAATGATTTGATATTATCGGTGTTTGCATGCCATAACCCGCGGCCAATGACATATATTCGGTGGTAATCTAAAATAAAAATTTCAATCAATTGCAAAAAAAAAAAAAAAAAAAAAAGGAGAAATGATTGAAAAATCTGAAAAATCTTGATGAAAATAAATATAATATTAAAATGTTAAAATAGATTTAAAATCAAAAAAACAAAAATTTTAAAGAAAAATAAAAAAAAAAACGAAAAAATATAACATATTTCATTAGACAAATGATTGGAACAATAAAAAAAATTTGAAAATATTTAATTTTCTTTTACAATCCATTTTTAATTATCATTTTTCAAATTACTAAATCATAAAATTTATTTTGTTTTATCATTTTCTTTTCCAATAGATATAAGCAAAAAAGAGTTTTTCATTTTTTTTTTTAATGACTAAAATTAATTGCAGTATGCATGTGAATAAAATGTTTTTCACATATAAATTTAATTAATTGACTCATTCTAACATTAATATCACATTTTTCTGTTCTTTTTTTTTTGTTGTTAAATGATATTATAAATTGCTTTAAGCAAATTAAACTTTCACTTCTTCACTTCTTGTTGTTGCATAAATTTCATAAAATAAATATTTTGAAATTTCGAAAATATGAAATAAAAAATAAAATTTTTATTAAACAAGGTGAGGAAAAAAAAAAGGAATATTTCAGTAAAAATCAAAAAAGGTAAAAGGAAGAGGAGAAAGAGAGAGAGAGAGAGAGGGAGAGAGGGAGAAAAAAGAAAAATTGTTTAACTACCAAATTTTTATTGTCATCAATCCGGAACTGGTTCTGTGATGTTGATATTGATACAGTATCTGTTGATGGTAATGTTGATGTTGGTGATAATGATAATGGTAATGATAGTGATGATGCTGATGCTGATACCGATGATGATGATGATGATGATGTTGATGATGATGATGATGACGATGCTGATGCTGATGATGATGATGATGATGACGATAATGATACTGATGCTGATGATGATGATGACGATGATGATGATGATGCTGATGATGATGATGATGATGATGGTAATTGTGGTAATAATTGTGATTGTGATAAGTGTAGTGACGGTTGTGATAACGATGGCAGAGGTGATGTCATTGTTGAATTTTCAAAATTTCGGCTACTTAATGGATAAAATGAACAATGATCATAATCACTGGATAATGCATTACTCGAACTAACACCATTTGTTGCTGATAAAAGTTGTCGTAACATTTTGATAAATCGAAGTTATTTCAATAATATTTACTGAAATTAGCAAAAAAAATATATATTTTTAAAATTAGTTGAATTGCTTGAAAATGTAGGAATGAATTAATGAGTCGAATCATTATTAATTAATGCTATATTTACCTTTTTTATTCCTTTTTCAATATATAATTAAATTTATTTAGTGACACTTATAATAATACAAGTAATCATTAATGAAATTAATTAGACAATTGCGCAGATAATATAAAAAGAAATAATAATAATAATGAGAAAGCATGAAGTTATTATGCGTGCCTATAAAAGAATCTTTTAAAAACTTGAAAAATAATAAATTTCAATAAATTTTTAGCGCATAACAATTTGAAAAGGATGGAGAGAGAGAGAGAGAGAGAGAGAGGGAGGAGAGAAAAAGGTGGAAAAAGAAAATAGAATGTAATTAAAGGAAATAAATTAAAAAATTGTCCATATGGAAAATGCAGGATAATGATAATCGGATCAAGGAAAATAGATGGGTATGAAAAAAGAAAGATTAGTAAAATATATGAATAACAATATTTAACTTTTTATAAAGTTAAAAAAAAATGAAATATAGTAATTGTGAAGATAAAGAAGTATGGATGTTAATTATGTAAAATTCTAAAAGAGAAAATTTTAAATTTAAATAAATTGAATTTAATTGAAAGGAAACATGTTAAAGCAGTGCATTGATTCATGTGATATGACCTCATTCAGGTAAAACTAATATTACTTCAGCATATGAAATAATAATAATAGTGAAAATAATAGCAATGACTAGTAATAATAATAGTAGTAATAATAATGATAATAATAGCAATAATAAGCAGTACTTAATGAAAATAATAATGACAATAAATAAATAATAAATTTGACAACTATTCTATCTAAATTCATTTCAAAATTGGGGGGAGGTATGTTAACATGAACAATTTTAAGCAATAATAATAGACGTGTTAGTGATAAAATGCTATTTATTTGAAGTATTTGTTTATATATAGTATCATCAAGGATTAATATATTTATTGACAATGACAACAATGTATTAAGATATTGATTTATAGTATCAGCAAGGTATTAAGATGTTTATAGTGTCAACAAGGTATTAAGGTATTCATTTATACTAATAGCAAGGTAATCGTTTTTATAGTAATGATAACTATTTTAAATGATAATCTTTTAGGATGCTCATTTGCAGTATTAGAAGTAATCCTAGCTTTTATCATATCATTTTTATCATATTAGCATTAATAGCAATCACTTTGCGGTATGATATTAGCATTACACGGTGTTAGTGATAAAAGCAAAATAATTTGTGATATCGATAATAATAGTAATAATTTTGTAAGCAATAACAGTAACTACTTATTGATTTTTTTACGGTAATAATTAAAGTAACATTTATGGTACTGTATTTTTTACAGTAACAGTTAGAGGAGTAATTATAGTACCATCCATATTAGTTACTGTATTAATAATAATAATAATAATAATAGCAGTAAATTATTTTGTGATGATGTCTTTATCGATTCCGTTTGTATCAATTCCACTTTTTTTCTTATTTTAGTTGGAGAAAAAACAAAAGTCAGTGGATATTTGAAGGTGAAGAAAGGCCTGTAGTATGATTATTTATCATTATTGATTGATTATGGTGATAAACGATGATTATGGTGATAAATTATATTTACAACATTTAAAAAATGAAATCATTAACTTTGCTAATAACTATCAGTTATTTGCCCCTCAATATTAAATGCTATCGTCGATAAAATCTCCCAATTTTTAAATTATTATTATTATTATTATTATTATTATTATTATTATTATTATTATTATTATCCCTATCAACAAAAAATCACTATATCAAATATTTATTTCATATTAAAAATCATAATTAATCTTATTATATAGCTTTTTTTTTCTTATATGAATGAAAATTGTCTTCCACTTTACTATTATTATTATTAGTAGTAATTCATACATAATAAAAAGTTAAAACAAGATAGGAAATAGGTGTACAATTCCCAATATTAAATTATTATTTCTAATTTCTTGAAGTACTCTTAATACCACACTTCTTATTACTATTACCACTACTACTACTCTTACTTCTACTATTAATTCTAATAATAATAGTATTACTAGTACTAAATAGTAACAGTTGTAGTATAAGTGACAGTATTAAATTTCATGAATGAAATGTTTATCTCACATATATACATGAGATAAACATTTCAAAGAATTTTAAAATCAACTTGAAAACAAATCACATAAATTGGAGTATTTTATGATAGTTATAGTCGAAGTAAACGGCAGTACTACTGTCAGCTGTGATGATAGATGTAGAAAGAGGCCATCACCCATTTGTCATACACATACATCCATCTATTACGATGCTTCACATACATACACATACACTATATGTATGTATGTATGCCTATATACAATTTAAATTATATATAAAATAATTGTACATTCATCGGATTTAAATGACAATTGCGACAGGTCAGTGTGCATTTGCACAGACAAAAGCGCCATTTATCCTTCATAGTTAATGATTGTGTGATATTAGCAACTGTAATAGCTGTAATAGCAGTAGCAATAATTAGTAATAGTAATTGTAGTAGTAGTAGTAGTAGTGGTTGAGAGTAATGAATAAATGACGCTGGACATAACAATTTCGAAAACTGTTGCGGGTTGAAATACATACATCCTCTCATCTCTTCCAACAAAACCGCTGAACTAATTTATTTGTAAGGATAGGGAAAGGAGAGAGAGAGGGAGAGGGAGAGAGAGAGAGAATGAATCGTAAAGAGGGCATAGTTGTGGGTGGTTGTGGTAGTCGTGGCGGTGATGTGGCGCTGATGGTGGTGGTAGTATTGCTGGTGGTGCAATAATATTATCCATAGAATTATTGGTATTCAGTGCAAAATCCGTTACATTAACAGTAATAATAATAATAATAATAATAATAATAATAATAATAATAATAATAATAATAATAATAATAATAATAATAATGATAACGAAATAGTAATGATAAGTAACATCCAAAATAATAATACTTTTAAAATTCATTGACCATTTACGCTAATTAAAATGTCATATGCTTTTTCCAAAAATTAATCATTCAATTATTTCATTATTTAATTACTTTTTATTTGCCTTTAGTTATCATAATGATTATTAACATATATAAATATAAAAAATTCTTTTTTTTTTTTTTTTTTGAATATTAATAAATTATGACGAAAGTTTTAATAAGTAATTAGAGTTTCTATTACTATAATTATAATTACTACTATGATAGATTAATGATGACAAGGATGACATCGGCGGTCATGACCATATGAGGACATCGACCGCGACCAGTAAACGATACAACTAACACTACTCAACACATTCACAACCAGTCCACTTCCTAACTTTTGCAATAAACACTAAAATTGTCCCCTTCTTCCTTCCTACTATCCATCATCTTTTATCCCATCTCTTAAAGTGACATTGAATTTCGATGTAGCGAATGAATAGAAATTGGAATATTTTTACAAAATGATTGTATCTACAAATAAAAAAGAAAAAAAAAAGAACGAAATTATATATTTGAATACTTATTTTTTAATCCAATAATTAATCATTCATTCATTTGATTCACTTTTCCTTTCTTTTTACTTATTTTACTCTTTTTTTTCTTCGACGACCATTTCCATTACGTTAATTACTTCTCACTGATATTACATTAATTTTTTAGATAGATATTTTATTATTATAAATTCTATGCAATCATTTTATCCATAATATACTCATTAATTCGAACAAAAAATGAATCATTTATGATCTAACCGATATACGCTTTAATGTTAGATTAACATTTTGATCATATCATTCAGTAAAAATTCTATGCTTCCTTTTTAGGTGAGTTTGCATAAATTTATTACTGCAAAATATCGAACTTAAAAATATCTTCATATTAAAATAAAATAAAAGAAAATTTCGAATTTAAAACTACTAACAGTGCACAACTTTGAAGAGATAAAAACCGCTTTTCATGCAACTCTCTCATAACGCATCTAATCATGCAATAAAATTTGAAACAAAAAAATAATTGAAATATTAGAAGTGAAGTAAGAAAAAGAAATGAAATATTATATGTCACATGCTATCGAAGAGAATTTGCATATATTCAAATCGTAAAATCGGTAAAGAAATTTAAAATTAAGAAAGTCATGTTGAAAAGCTGAAAAATAAAGAAATCATTGCAAAAAAATAAATAAAAAATAAAATAGATGACTGTTGTAATGGTGTAGCACAATTTCGACCACTCAAACTTTAAATACAATTAAAAAATAAAAGTAATATCTATGTGTTGCATATTGTATTCATCATTTTATCAGAGATGAGTGAAAAATCAAGTTGGAAAACCAAAACACGATTAAATACAATGTGAAATATTCCGAAATCTTAGGACCACTTCAACACACAGCACCCCAATAATAAATAAATTTAATGTAATATAAACAGTATTAGAAATACAGAACTCTCATTAATACTTTGAGATGTACGAGAATTGTTCTCAAGTATAGCTTTACTAGAATTTTTGAAACATACTCAAACTTTCTACATATTTTCTACTTTGTTGAAACATACTTTCTGCCTTGTTTCTTTTTTCCTGCAAACTTGCCCTTCCCAGTGATCAACTACCATATTTCTATTGTAATAATTTGTTGTGATCAAATGAAAAAGACAACATGCTGTGTCCTCATTTCAATCGGAAAATAGATTGCAACATTTGATATCTTGCAATATTCCTAGGTAAATAGTACGAAATTCGACCAGTCATTAATTAATCACCAGATAAAAAACAGTGAAGTATTTTGACAGTAACACCGCATCGAAGAACATATTTTGAAGTATACTTCGTTTTCTTTTCGCAGAAAAACAGCAACAGCAACAGCAACAATAACAAAAATCATTCAAAAAAAAAGAAA